ACCATATATATTCTGGTTTGTCATGATAAAGCACATCAAATGAAATACAGGGTTAGTCCCCAGGGGTCATCCCGACCCCCTGCCATTTGAGAAAGTTGTAATATCTTGTAAATGGTCGAGATCCCCACCCCTTAACCATATATATTCTGGTTTGTCATGATAAAGCACATCAAATGAAATACAGGGTTAGTCCCCAGGGGTCATCCCGACCCCCTGCCATTTGAGAAAGTTCTAATATTTTGTAAGTGGTCAAGATCCCCACCCCTAAACCATATATATTCTGGTTTGTCATGTGAAGATGGTTTGAATGATATACAGGGTTAGTCCCCAGGGATCACCCCCACCCCCTGCCATTTAAGAAAGTTCTAATATCTTGTAAGTGGTCAAGATCCCCACCCCTAAACCATATATATTCTGGTTTGTCATACCAAGATGGTTTGAATGATATACAGGGTCAGTCCCCAGGGGTCACCCCCACCCCCAATGTTCTAATATCTTGTAAATGGTCGAGATCCCCACCCCTAAACCATATATATTCCTGTTCGTCGTGTCTCGAACATTTGAATGATGTATAGGGTCAGTCCCCAGGGGTTCCCTCCACCCCCAATGTTCTAGTATCTTGTAAATGGTTGAGATCCCCACTGCTAAACCATATATATTCTGGTTTGTCATGCCAAGATGATTTGAATGATATACAGGGTTAGTCCCCAGGCATCACTAATGCTTATAACTTTACTGGACCAAACCAATTTTCACTGGACTTTGTCCAATGTCAGGCGATACTGGTAATTACGAATTATGGGAGCTTCGTTTGGGAGACTTCGTAACAGCATCCTGTTACAATCATTTCTTGTTCATGGTGAACCACTAGTGGTAGGTCAATGATATTTGGTATGCAGTTGTATTAGCATTGGCACATCTCATTACCATTTAGATTATTTGGCCCCACCCCCTCAGTCAAGGTCTATTGACTTTGAAACTTTTCATAGTTTACATGTATTAGTTTGTGATTAGGTCAATTTATGGGGAACCACTAGTGGTAGGTCAATGATATTTGGTATGCAGTTGTATAAGCATTGGCATATATCATTTCCATGGAGATTATTTGGCTCTGCCCCCTTAGTCATGGTCTATAGACTTTGAAAATTTTGCTAAGTTAACATGTATTAGTTTGTGATTGGGTTAGTTCAAGGGGAACCATTAGTGGTAGGCCAATTTTAATTGGTGTTCAGTTGTATAAGCATTAGCACATCTCATTTCCATGGAGAATAATTGGCCCCGCCCCCTCAGTCATGGTCTATTTACTTTGAAACTTTTGCTTAGTTTACATGTATTAGTTTGTGATTAGATCAGTTTAAGATGAACTGCTAATGTTAAGTCAATGATATTTGGTATGCAAATTTATTCGCATTTGCAAGTATTGTTTCCATGGAGATTATATAGCCCCACCCCTGATCATGGTTCATTGACTTTGAAACTTTTACATAGTTTACAAGTTAATGTTTGTGTTTAGGTTTGTTTTAAGGGAACGACTTATAATAAGTCAATGGTATTTGGTATGCAGTTGTATTAGCATTGGCACATCTCATTTCATGGAGATTGTTTAGCCATGTACCTTCAGTCATGGTTCATCGACTTTGAATATTTGCATAACTTACATGTTAAAGTATTGCTATTTTAATTTCAACATTTGCATTATCAAAATTACAAAAAGGCAAGACATATCTCTGTGATAACAGTTTATTTATTTCATAAGAATGAATTCTACAATTCAAAGTACATTTGTAGCATTTTTTTATGTAATCCTTTTCTGTAAGTGATATGTTTATAGCCCAATTACTGTGACTTGAATGTAAGCATTGCTCTCCACCTATTGTAGTTTGTTCAAAATTCTGACCAAATTACAATTTGTTTTATCAAACCAAACTGTTCAAATGGTCAGAAATTTTGACAAACTGCTGTAGAAAACCACAGTCAAGTTGTGAAAGTGCAAGATGATAAAATGAGGCATACTTACAGTCCTATCAGACTTTGCTTCCACTTCATTGATATTGAAGAAAATGTTTATAAGAATTTCTATACATTCTTTTATTGTTGAAAAGGGAGAGGTAGTGATTTTTAAATTGCTATAAAAATGTCTTTTAAATGCAAATTTCTAATTTCATATTTAACTATTTATTACATTCATCTATTTCAGGAGTTTAAAATTGCAGCCAGATGCAACTAGAAAGTTGAAGCAGTTTATTGAATATAAGGAATAGTTACACTTGAAAATCATAGGCTAAGACAGAAGATAATACATGTACATTCAATTAAAGACTGAGTGATTGAAGAAGTATGAGTGGCAAATGTTTCAGAGTAAATCATGTTTTCAGAGGAAAAAATGCTCACGAATGACTGAAAAGTGCTAGTTTTTTTACAATGTTGTTTAAATAAATTTGATGGAAATGTCAATTGACTTTTAGTCACTTAAAAACAATTACTAAAAAGTTTGAGTTGATTTGCAACATACTTCTTGTAGAAAATAAGCATGGTTATAGGAAACATATATTGCTGCCCGTCTGCACCTTGGTTCATGATACCTGCTATCCACATTATTGTTAAACTTACCATGCATACCAAATTATTGACTGACAAAAATTTTGTGGTCACTCCTGTTAGATACTGCTGAAATTGTATTGTAGTTGTTGATGGGACGGAATGTGATAAGTAAGTTTGCTTACCCATCAGGGATTGATTGATTATTTATATTGTGTTTAATGCCACTTTCAGCACTGTTGGCTATTTCGTGGCTTCTAGTTTGTATTGGTTGAGGAAGTCGAAGTGCCCCTTTGAACCGCAACATTTGATAGGAAAACTGGCAATCCCAGTCAATTAAGATTGCAACAGAACACACCTGCCACATGCAGAGTTACAACTACTACATAAATTTATGGTATATAAGAGTGCACACACTGAAATGTCTCTCCTGTTTTACTCATCATTGAATTAATTTATGTTGAAAGTCTGTAATATGAAGGTTTTACTACAAGTATCACATAAACATAATATTATCAATGTTCCATGATAATGAGGTGATGGTCAGATGAACCAGGCTAGACAGACTTGTACACCTTACAATCATTCCATACACCAAATATAATTGATCTGTTGCTTATAGTACTTGAAAAACAGACCAAAACACAAAATAACTTTACATTGACCAATGAACCATGAAAATGAGGTCAAGGTCAGATGAAACCTGCAATGTACCCCTTGCAATCATTCCATACACCACATGTAGTTGACCTAATGCTTATAGTATCTGATAAACGGACCTAATCATGTAACTCTTACCTTGATCACTGATCCAATGAGGTCAGGTGAACCCTGTGATGGACATGTGGGCATTCCAAGGAACCCATACACCAAATACAGGTATCCTTTTACTCATAAGTGAGAAATTCACATGACAAGAAAACAAAAATTTTTTTCATGTAGTCACTGAACCATGAAAATGAGGTCAAGGACAATGAACATATGACAGACAGAAAGTTTGTAACATAAGGTATCTGCATACAAGGTATGAAGCATCCAGGTTTTCTACCTTCTGAAATATAAAGCTTAATACAAATAGTTTACATCGCCGCCGGATAGTAATACCTATGGCTCAAATACTGCAAATTTCGTTGCAGGTGAGACAAATATTTTGTCAAGACAAAAGAACAGCTGGGTAGTTAATATCTTTTAAACATGCTTTTTTGTCTGGCAAATGCCTGTTGTCCTTGACTTAATTTTCAATTCTTTGTTTCAATAGAACTTTGCTTCATAAATTTTTTTGAAATCACAATATCAGATTTCTCATTTTTGCCAGAGGTCAAGGATTTGCTATAATTCCTGAATTTACAGAATGTACCTAAAACAATATAAATAAATGAAGTACATCCCTACATCAAGCTGTATGACTAGGTCAGTTATAATACAGGAACTATATATAGGCTTCATAAATCTTAATAAAATTGAGAATGGAAACGGAGAATGTGTCAAAGAGACAACAACCGACCAAAGAGTAGAAAACAGCCCAAGCCCACCAATGGGTTTTTCAACACAGCAAAAAAATCCCGCTACCGGAGGCGGGCTTCAGCTGGCCCCTAAACAATAATGTATACTACTTCATCGAAAATGGAAGTCACACTAAACTCCGTAACATATAAATGAACCAAAATTTAAAAAAACCATACAAGACTAACAAAGGCCAGACGTTCCCAACTTGGGAAAGGCACAAAAATGTGGCAGGGTTAAACATGTTTGTGAGATCTCAACCCTCCCCCTATACCTCTAGACAATGTGGAATAAACAAACACACAGCAATACGCACAGTAAAATACAATTACTTGTTTTCTCTGATTTATTTCACATTTTGTCTTGCTATAATGGCTTACTACATGGTATGAGTTTTGCTCATTGTTAAAGATTGTTGTTTACACACCTTTCCTTAGATCTGTGATGGAAAGTTGTCTCATTAGCAATAATACCACATCTCCTTTGGCGGGGTTCAGCTCATAGTATTGTGATGTTGGGCAGGCACTTTTTTGTCGCAGAAGAGAAACATAGCGATCCTACATTCTGTCATCAGTGGTGTCAACAACTAGGTTCAATCTGTGGTTAAATTTTATTAAACATCACCAACTTTGTCATACCTTCATGGAATTGTATAAAAATTGGAGAAGCTTTCTTACGATAAAGACAAATATCCAAAGCAATATTTTGAAATTTTTTTTTTTTTTTTTCATTTTCCCTTATTTTACTGATAATGGACTTCAGTTTGCATTAAGATTTAGATTTTGGTAAAAGTTTTCCAGACATCAATTACTTTGTTTAACCTTCATGGAATTTTACCAAACTTGGAAAGAAGCTATTTTATGATCACAAGACAGTTACCAGAGCAAAATTTTGAAAATATTTTATTTCATTTTCCAGCGTTTTACTGAATGGAATACATGTATAATAAAACAATGCAATACATTTCTATCTTTATTACCCAATTATAAATTCACAGTACAAATTGTGTGGTATTATGCTCATTTCTTTCTAACAGACTATTGAGTCAATGACTTTGTGAAATATTTATATTTTAACTAGTGTATAGATGAAACTTACAAATGTAAAAATCTACTACTATCCTAGAAAACAAGCAAACTGAAATGATATATGAGAAATGTGATCCAAATCTAAAGTGCATATTTTTTTTTATTCATATAACAACAAGATTGAAGTCTATAACAAAGATTTAAAACACCCAAAAAAAAAAACAAAACAACTTACAATCTCAAACTATAAAAGTTTTCCACAAAATCTTGTAGAAATCAATATCTTTAATAATGTTCCAATGAGAAATATTTCTTTCAAAGTATGAATAAATTTCAAAAGGGGTACACTGTTGTCAAAAGACATCATATGGATTTGATATGCGCTAGAAAAAGACATACAGATTTTACCATTGCATTCAATAAGAAATAGTGTTTTCTATTTTGATGACATCTTATAATATATCAATGCTGCATGCTCATTTAAATAATTAAACGGTTAACATTTAACTCCAGTCACCTTAAAGTAGATATAGCTATATCAAGGAAATTAACAAAATCTAAAATACTCTAAGGAAAGTATGAAAATAATGAGGTATGGTGTACCAGTATTTGACATGAAGACACCTAACAGTCAAAACAACGTTAAATTGAAAATCAACATTAATAAGTCAGTGCAATGCCTTTAGCATAACACATTTACAGGTCATTGCAATGCCTTTAGGATTTGCGAAAAAAAATACAAAACAATAACAAACTAAAATTGTGAAAAATTCATGAGGCAACAAAAACTTATTCATTAACTTCAAAGGGAAACATAAATATGAAGAAAATGACAATCACTAAACTAGTCTCCTGGCTTTGGAGAGGCACATTATGTATGTGATAAGGTTAAAACATGTTTGCAATACACCATCTTGTGTCTGTTATTGTATAATGTATTGTTAATTCACATCGTATAAAAGGAGAAGGCACATTTTGGGGCTTATTTGGTCTTTTCAATTAATATTTAAACATGAAAAGTTTGACTCGAAATGACATGAAATGTTTGCTTATTTGCATTATCTGAAATCCTTTTTAAATTGTATTTCCAACGATGAGATTCAACCGTTTTGTCGTCGGCAGATACCCACATCAATAAATAACTATGAAAATCATGGAATGTATAAAGAATGTTTAAGTACATGAAAAGTAAATGAGACAAAAATAATATTATATCACAGACAATCAATATCACAGCCTCACATGAATAAAACGTATACGTATATATAAAATTCTCAATAATAATCACATAATTTATTTTGTAAATTATATATACATTTTTCTTACATGTAAACTGAATTTCTAACATTCAGGTGTGTGTCTTGTAAAGCTTTTAAATTTATCCGTCATATGCTGGATAAATTGGATAAAAAACTGTACAATATATAAATTGGCACCTGTAAAATTGATATTGGCACAAATATTCTCACATTACTGTGCAGAAACAAGGGACTAAATTTTTGTCTCCAGATCTGGTATACATGTATGATTTAAAGCACTTTACCACTATAACTGCTCTTTAGGGATCATCACTTCTGCCATCAAAAAGTAATCTTTCAGCATTTAAAAACAATTCTATTTTATTCAAATTATAGAAATTCATGAGAGTATGAAAAGGACGGATTTATTATAAACTTGATATGTACTCTATCAAATTATATTTATACCTGTAAAAATGTCAAACAGGGACAACCTTATTTGATTATTATGTATGGTCTTCTACGATAAAATGTATCATTTTACTCATCTTCTCAAGCCAAGGGTTATGATCCAGTCCCCTTCACTTCACCCTTGGCAGAATAAGCCAACATTTGTGATTACAATGCTGCGCCATCTACCATCAGATAAAAGTCACACCCATTCAGACTTCATCATTCTTGACCAATGGCAGCACTTGAATTCTCTTCAGTGTGGAGGTGTAAAAATGGTTGTGTCTAGTGTTTACACATTTCATGCAGCAGGAACCAAAAATATACGTTGACATTCCAACAATTGCGCGAGAAACATACCCAGGAACTTCAACTAGTTCTTTAAAATTGTCACTCAATATCATCCTATGTTTTGGGAATAAAGACTTATTGCACAATCAGCAATTGTTTATTTACTTTTTCTACAATTACATCTGATCATCTAAGAGGTGTTTTTCTGATTGGATGCAGCCAGTTACAACTGAAATCAATGGAAATTATTACATCGTGGATCCGAAAATTCTATCTTAATCCTCCAAGGGTGAAGAGGAGGGGACTGGATCGTAACCCTTGGCTTGCGAAGATGCATTTTACTATTTTCAAAATGTATCATATGTAATTATAAGTTGACATAAACTCAAACAATACAATAATATTCTAATATAAACAAGCAATTTTCTGAGGTCACTTTTTTTAACAAGAAATACCATACCATAAAAGCAATACAGTTTAAATTCACCTTTCAATATTACAATATACTGTTTTACATAACTGTACTATTCTAAGACTATTGGCAAGGACAATACATTTGCTGTAGTTACATAAATAACTAACAAAACACATATTTCCATTCTGACTTAAAACAAAAGGCTAAGAACACTATTCCTCCTTATAACATATTGATATATTTGGTCCTGCTTATAAAGTTTCAGTGAATTTTTGTAATTTTTCAAACATTTTAATGATTTTAAATCTTCCATATTTCAAGTTTCTACTTTATCTATTTCATCACTGTTTTTGTTTTCAGTATTGTCAGGTGACTTGTTATCATAATTATCTTCAGTGTGTTTATTTGATTGATCATTTTGAGTATTGAGTACTTCAGTGTTAGCACCATCAGTTTCGTCAGCATTATTATTCTGATCTTCTTTTTCTACACGATCCATATATAACTCAAGCTCTGCTACACCAAGATCATTATCATCTCGTAGCCAGCTGCAATTACAACATATATTTATAAATATTTTAATTTTTCATGGATAAAATAAATATTCTAATTTTTCATTGATAAAATAAATAAATTTCTTATTTTTCATGGATAAAATAAATAAATATTCTTAATTTTTCATGGATAAAATAAACAAATATTCTAATTTTTCATGGATAAAAAAATTCAAAGGATCAATGAAAAACTAGCAGACCAACTGATTGCCCCTCAAAGCTCCTAATTTGACACACAAATGAGACATCAAAAGAGACTTTTTGCTTACAAAATATTCATTACACTGTTTTAATTATAAGCAATAATATTTAGCCACTTAATACAAGGATTTCCAGCTTCCAATAAAAAAAAAGATGAATAGGACAAAAGTTATCATAGACAGATTAGAAAAAAATGACAGTTTCATAGTATTATAGGAACAGATTATCATAGTTGTGTTTGGCAAACTTAGTTCTTTATTTGGCCTTTTTTTTAATTCGAGCATCACTTGTGAATCTTTTGAAGATGAAGCGTGTGTCTGGCATACAACATTATTAGCCTGGTATCTTTGATGAGTGGTTTTTTTTTTTAAACAACCACAACAATATTATGGCTGAATTTTAAGGTAAAAATAAGTAAATATAAAAACAAACCTTCCACAAGGAAATATGTATTTAGTTGTATCTGTAACCGATTCTTTCACAGAAACCTTCTCCAGGAACCATGCTGAACTTGGGCTATGTCCATGGTGTCCAACAATTAAAGCTTCCAACCTACCTAAGTCTACAGCTTCAATAATAAATGTGTCCGTCTGAAATTTAACAAACAAAAATCAATTTGGAATACAGTTTACTCTTTTCTTGTTGAATGTAGTATATAATCGTGTATGCTAATAGTTGAAGTGAAATCAAGAGAACTGCCACTAATTTCAATTACTGTGGTTTTGGAAAGGTTTTGTCTCTTCACAATACCAATTGAACAAAATGTGTTTCCAAGTTGCAGTTTGAACTGATCAACTTGTGAAAACTTTTAGCCCATTGCTAGTGAAAGTTGTTTCAATACAGTTTTAAAATATTAGCTTGGAGATACTTGAGCATTGCCAATTAGAACCAGAAACTATCTCTTGTGGCAATGTTTTCATCCAATCTTAAGGAATATTCATACATTATTTCTATCAAGTTTGATTTAAGATTTTCAAAGCAAAATCTGGGGAGATGACAAAACATGAAATGTGGAAAGACAAACATGAAGTAATATGTGTTAACGACAACATCAAATACCTTGATGTAACACAATGTATACATCGAATGTACATTCTTAAGGCATAGTCTTAAAATGTTGATCTTCTCCTACACTAGACAAAAATACCTTTCACAATCTACTAAGGTAATAGGGAATCATTATAAGACAGTATATGCATGAAAGTTTAGTCTTCCTATCAACGCAATTAATAAGTTAGTTCTATTATCATACAAAATATAGAGACTTTATAAAGGTATTTACTGCTACTCCCAATAAAGCATTGCAGTGTTAACAAGAACACAGACAGTTTGGCTAGGAGTCAACATGATAATTCCAAGTATGATACGTTGTTGGCTAGTACATTAAAAATCTTGCTAGGCCTGTCAATTTATAACATTAGCCAGACATATTCATATCACTCAGATGTTCTAACTCACTTATGCATAATTGCTGCTGGATATTTAACAAACACAGACCAATCAATCATATTATCATATTGGACATTACTTACCTGACCTCTCTGGAATTTAGTTCTTTTCTCCGTATTATGAATGAGATATCGTTTGCCACTATCCCCTAGTGTACCAAACAGGTTAACATGTATTACTTCACTGGTATCTGCTCCTTCTTCATCACCTGTTTCTACTTCTATCACATACTGATTTACTACAATAAATCAAAAGGTTAAATGAATAAATAAACCATAACATCTCGGTCTTGTTATATTTTGGCTGAATGGTGTAATAATTGAGACTGCATCACTGTTTTATAACCTGTCTATATAATTGATTGTGCATTAATAGAAAATCTTCATGATGACACTGTGGCATGAAAGTTGGCAATCAAAATTAAAAGTATATTTAAAATTTTTTTTTTTTTTTTTTTTAAAAAGCATATACATCCACTTTTTCCTCTTGACTTAATTGATACAGACCATAATCTGAAAAAATGTCTGCTCACTAAACTCTGATCTGTGTATACTTTAAAATGTACAGTCAGGTTATGAAACAATTTGGTAAAGTTTTGGTATATTTCAATGTAAATTGTGGGAATTTTGCATAAAAAATTTTCAATTTAAAGCAAGTCTGTACAGTTTCATTCTATTCCTATGTAAAACTGTAGGAGATTTTGCACTGACAAAGTTGTGTGACTGACAGACAGACAAAGACAAGTCAAAAATCAATGTGTCGTCCAACATATTTATAAATAGTAGGGAAGACCTTAAAAAAAGTTACTTCTGACAAGCATACTCATCAAAATTGGATATAGAAATATGATCGTAACTAAGGTAACACAGCATAATAACCAAACATGCAAACAAGAAGCAGAAATATAAACTATACATTTTACAACTTACAACTATATATTATCTAGCACATGCTACAGGACTAATGAAAACTTTGCATGCAAACTTAAATTTATGGAATTGTAAAAACTAGACCAATAAAATAAAACCTTAAATGAAAAAGCTCACATACCACACCCACAATATAGATGGGTAAAGTTATATTGACCTGATGGCATAGTTTTTTTTCTGTTTACTTTAGGTATGAATCTTTATCATGATTTCAGACAGTAATGGTGTGTTTCAAAAACTTTCTTTCATTTACTATTGACCTTGACCTAAGACCTAGTGACTTAATAATCAACAGAGTTCTCCTCTTAACATATGTGACCAAATATCCAAGTAAGGTTTTGATCCCCCAGTATTTGATTTAGCATCTGGAAACAACTTTTCTGCAGAAATATCAGTCTATCTTTAGTAGCTTTGACCTTGATCTTTAATGGGGTCTTCCACTCATTATATGTGACCATATATCCAGGTATGGCTGCAATCTGATATAAAGTATTGGAATTAGCATCTGGAACGAAAATGACTGACAGAAAGGACTTAACAAGTCAAAAACTTAATACTCCGTTCTATCTCGTAGCATGGGGTATTATAACTTTCAAAAGTTAAATGCAGATGATGACAATTTTTATTAAAAGAATGTGGACTGGTGTAAGTGCAGGAGTATAAATATTAAAATTATACTTTTTGAAAGCACTTTTAACACAGATAAGAAGACATTTTTATTACGGTACATAGTTGACAAAATGAATCCCTGCTTTAGTTCTTAGTATATACTGACATCCAACACCACACATTTTATCGTTATTAATAAGTGAAATGTGATATATTATTTCAAACAAAAATAATATGTCTACAACACAATGATATCCTGTTTTAAAAATTTTTAAATAATGTTTGTAAATCAATTGATCACCATAATGACTAAAATGTTACTTAATAGCATAGTACTGTATAAAAGACTGTTATGGTGAAAATGATTGATAACCAGAATTTTCTTTGTTTACTGTCCAGTGGCAAATAGTTCATATATTAAACAAATATCAAATAAGTAAGTTTTGCAAATTTGGTAGACAAGGACGAAGGGCACGAAATTTTAATACACCAATAAAAAATAGGATATCTTGGAAAGGGATGGGCATTTAATCTTGCAACAGACCTACAGATCCTTCAAGAGCTGTTGAAAGCAGAGTTCTTTAAGGTACAGTATTATCTGAACTAATTAAAGCGTCAACTTATTTTTTAAATAAACACTAACACAGCTAACTTTGTATTTGTGATATAAATAACACTAGCACAGCTAACTTTGTTTATGTGATATAATTAAAACTAACAAGGCTAACTTTGTATATGTGATATAAATAACATTAACAAGGCTAACTTTGTATATGTGAAAACGGCTAACTTTCTATATGTGATAACGGCTAACTTTGTATATGTGATAAATAAGGAAGTTATTTGTATATATTAGAGCATTCAAAAGCTAAGGTGAATTTTGCCATTCAAAAATCTGACACTAACAATTCTTACCATCAACTCCTGAACTCTCTTCAAGAAAAATTATAATTCACTTATTTTCCAACACAATATAATGGTATATACTATAGAATCCAAAATAATGTGTTCAAACTAAATGATACACTAAACAGGCAAAATAACAAATAAAACCAAACTGAAGCATAAAATGATAGGAAAAATACAAGACCATTAAAAACTGAAGCATACAACGAAAGTTCTAAAATTCATTTGCTGTTCACAGTTTACCAATATGTATTTGTAATTTTGCAGTAAGTTACTAAAGTTTCCTTTAAAATTTGAGTCAAACATGATAGATATGGCTCATAAATGCTGTGATCTGTACTCAATCTACAGAGATCCACATAAGCAGATGCAATCCACGTGTAGCCATTTTTTCAAACAATTTCATTTCATTTTAATACTAATGCATGCGATGTACATTTGATAATTTCAATAGTGTGCAGCATAAACGTACCTGGCCAGACATGGTTTTTATGATGTGCTGGTATTTCCACAGATATATCACTTCCTGGGTCAGCTAAGGTTAAATTCTTGTTCACTGGGAACTCCATTATGTCACCTCTAAATAAGTCTTCCACAATGATCTAATAGAAAAATAATGCCTTAAAATATCAATTTGAATTTCTTAAACTTCTATCACAGACAAGACAACAATTTTTTACTTTATAAATCATAGAATATTTGAAAGCCTATACATTTGACCACACTAACCTTGTCAACAGCCCAGGCAGCTCCTGGTTTTACATCACTGTGCTCCAGTCTTATTTTACGTGTTTCTCCAAGTTCTTCCAGTTCCAGTTTAATCTATAAATACAATACAATTGACAGTGCTATGAAATTGGACCAACTAAAAGGGACGAGTAATGCTAACAAAACGATACTGAAATTCATCTTTGATATAATATTACAATTGTTACTGACCTTGAAGATGGATATTCTAACCATATTTATGACACAACCTCTGGTGGTTGGCAGTGATATTATCACATATCATTATTATCCTTCTAGACATTTAAAAGTTCTGAGTGGGGCACCACTTTGTATGTTTTTATGTATGGAATTCCATGTGACTTTCATACAAGGGAGAGGTTTAGCTAGCTATAAAACAAGGTTTAATCCACCATTTCTACAAAAGGAAATGCCTATATGTTTGAGCTTTTAAATTTTCCCTTTGATAAGGGACTTTCTGTTTTGAATTTTCCTTGGAGTTTGGTATTTTTGTTATTTTTAATTTTTAATATGGGAATGTAAAGTTTAACCAAGTTAGTGACCTTGACATTGCAGACAGACATTCCAACTGTTTAATTGACACACCCTCTGGTATTTGGCAACAATAGTACCAAGCATCATTAATGACCTTCAAAAACTCTTAAGTTCTGAACTGAATGACAAATTGCAGACAGAGACTAACAGGGTGATTCCTATTTACCCCAACCCTGAACTTTGTTGCTGTTGTCACCACACAACCCTGAAAAATTTAATTTATGAACGGAATTTCAATATGCAGTTCAAACCTATAACATATAAGTTATATACTCCTTACAAAAAATCTAAATACTAAATACTAATGGCCTGCCATGTGTAGTTATTTAGAAACAACCTTATGCTGAAAAAGTATTAAGCTGACTGCTGAAGGGTGAAAATGAGGTCATGGTCAGGTAATGATGACTGGTTACAAAATTAGCATAACAAACTTCCACACAAATTTTAGTTTACCTGAATGAAAGTTGTATAAGATATAATAAAAAAAATGCATCTGTTTTCACCATTAATACCAAAGGAGTAAGCACTCCTGACTTCCACAACTATTGTTGCAGGGAAAAAAGAAAATCCATAAATACCTCAAACATATCTGTGGTTCCTGCCTGGAACAGTCCTGTGCCAGGTTCTCCTAATGGTAACTGTCCAGAGTTACCAGCATCACCAAACACTGTTAAGTAGACTTGATCATCAAACCCTTTAGACTGACCATTAGTGACCACTGTAACTTTGAAGTCTCCATCTACAAATATGCATATCTCATTATTTTTTCCAATGTAGAAGTATTTTACTGAATCAGTTACTAGTAAGATCAGTATAAATAAATCTGAGGTGGCTTCATATCACATTTTAGATATTGCATGTTAATCAGTAACACCAAAACTATCCTTTTATTTCAGTCAAAATTCAATATGATACAGTACATGTATTACACTATTTAAACAACTATTTTCTAGAATATCACATTTATCCCAGAAAAATCAACAATCTTTATTCTGTGTAACTATTAAACCTCCATAGAGTAAGAGAAGTACTGAAGCTTACCAACAGGATCCTTATTAGGAGTCTCTGGTTTGGGAGATACCAAAGGCTCAGTGGTCTCTGGAGATGGACTTTTAACAAGTTCATCAGGTTGTTTTTCCAATGACTTTGGGGATTCTATTTCTCCTGCATCATTTTCTTTTTTGACTTCTACATCTCCTGGCTTTGGTGATGGTGATTTGACTGGCTCAGTAACTGGTTCAGGCGATGGGGACTTGCCTTTTGGTTCAGGAGATGGTGACTTGACTTTTGGTTCAGGAGATGGTGACTTGACTTTTGATTCAGGAGATGGTGACTTGACTTTTGGTTCAGGCGACGGTGACTTTTCCTTTGGTTCTGGTGTTTTTGTTCTTTCATTGACAATTGGAGATGGTGTTTTTGTGTTACTTTCTGTCTTTGCTTCTAGTTCAGGTGTTTCAGTTCTAACTTCTTGTTCTGGTGTTTTTGTCTTTGGTTCAGGTGAAGTGTTGACTAGTTGGTTTGGTGAAGGTGACTTTATTTGAGTTTCAGGAGTGGGTGATTTTGTTTGAGGTAGTGGAGTTGGTGTCTTTGGTTTTGATTCTGGCTCTGGTGATTTTGATTTTCTTTCTGATGCCAAGTTCTCTTCAACAACTAGAAAATAATATGAAACTTATTGCTTGCAATGCATCAGTACAAATGTAATAATGAGAGTGCACACACAGAAATGTCTAGCCCGCTTGCTTTCCTGATAATAATTGAATTTATGTTGAAAGACCTTTTAAGATAAAAATTTGACTACAAGTATCATATATACTTAAAATTATCAAATCCATTTAAATGAGGTAAAGGTCACAAGAACTTGCCAGACAGACTATTAAACCATACAGTCATTCCATACACCGAATATAGTTGACCTATTGCCTACAGTATCTGGGAAACAGACCTAACTAGGAAAAGTTAGCATTGACCAATGAACCCTGAAAATGAGGTCAAGGCTTCATAAATGTCCAAACACACATATTATTATTACTTATCAAATGTGAATAAAAGAAATTATGTTAGTGAATAGATTTTACCTGGGGTGGGAATTTTAGGTTTGACTTTTGATGAAGGAGTTCTGTCCCTTAATCGATATGTTTCACTTCCTGGTCTCTTGGCAATCAAAGTTCTTTCTATTTTGCCATCTCCATCTTCCTTGGACAACCACCTAAAATTAATATTACAAGACATTTTTAATATTTCACTGAAACACACTGTGTGTGTGTGTGAGACACAGAAATTGAAAATTAATTTAATTTAAATTAATTAATTTGTTTGGTGCAATAAATATAAATCAAGGCTCAAAGAAGTCTGCATGTCTTTATTTCATCCAATAAAGCATAATATTGAATAATCTTACTTTCAGATTTTAAAATAGGGCATTTTCTTATGCAATTGAAAAGGATCAAATATTCAGAAACCCTCTTTTGACACCACATTCAGTAAAAAGTTTGTACAAAAGTTCCTAAACAAATCATTTTACTTTCTTTGTCACACAATTATTATATTCTATATAAATAAACAGTGGAGTCAACTTCTGAATTCTATTAGTTTTGAATACAGTTGCTACAAAACAAGATCCTAGATGCTCTAGGAAAAACATTAAGGAAACAATCTTCTTTAACTTTTATAAAAAAAACTGCATTCCTTTAAATTTTTGTCATTTTTCATTAAATTAAGTTATTAACTTACTGATCACATGGGAATATAGTTTCTTCTGTAGCAGTCTCTGATTCAGTAATCACAACCATCTGGAGGAACCAACCAGATCCTAACAAACAAATCATTATTATATAAAAAGTGAAGAAAAAAATTATCATATATTATTTCAAATTATAAGCATTCATTAATTCTAAGTTTCCTAAAATTAAAGTTATTCAGAGAAATGTAAATTTAATTTTGATACATTTCGAGGAATAAATTTCTGAGCCAACAAGATGTACTGTGAGCAATTGCTCACTAATGATACCCCTGCCATTTACATCAAATTTCAGCAAGCTCTGATTCGTAGTTCCTGACAAAAAAGCTACCAAACCTTCATGCATGGCCATTATGTTTAAGAATATATAAAAGTATTGGGTAAATAGGAAGTTAATGAGCAATGAATGTGAAAACACTTCACAGGGTTAAGCATGCTGAATCAAAGCTTGATACCAAATGTCAGGAAGCTCTGATATGAAATTCCTGAGAAAATTTTCATCATTAGAATGGACACTTATATTTACAGACTAATAGACAGACCCTTTCCTTTTAATCAGGATATAATAATTGCAAAGTGAGAATTAATGTCAGTAGCAGTAATATATAATATCAGCATATAATTAGCTCATGGTCATAATTAATGTCAGTAGCAGTAATATATAATGTATAATGTCAGCATATAATTAGCTCATGGTCAGAATTAATGTCAGTAGCAGTAATATATAATGTCAGCATATAATTAGCTCATGGTCAGAATTAATGTCAGTAGCAGTAATATATAATGTCAGCATATAATAAGCTCATGGTCAGAATTAATGTCAGTAGCAGTAATATATAATATCAGCGTATAATTAGCTCATGGTCAGAATTAATGTCAGTAGCAGTAATATACAATGCATAATGTTAGGGTATAATTAGCTCATGGTCAGAATTAATGTCAGTAGCAGTAATATATAATGTCAGCTTATAATTAGCTCATGGTCAGAATTAATGTCAGTAGCAGTAATACATAATGTATAATGCCAGCATATAATTAGCTCATGGTCAGAATTAATGTCAGTAGCAGTAATATATAATGTCAGCGTATAATTAGCTCATGGTCAGAATTAATGTCAGTAGCAGTAATATATAATGTATAATGTCAGTGTATAATTAGCTCGTGGTCAGAATTAATGTCAGTAGCAGTAATATATAATGTCAGCATATAATTAGTTCATGGTCAGAATTAATGTCAGTAGCAGTAATATATAATGTCAGCATATTATTAGCTCATGGTTATTATCCCGGTTACCAAGGATTTCTAATCTATCAAAACACAATACAACAAGAAAACTTGTATCAAACATTTACCTAAACCTTCATCATTGTGACCAATGACAACTTTCTGTAACTTTCCTAACGATACAGCCTCAACAACAAATAAATCTTCCTACAATTAAACAGAGGAATAATGATTTAGTTATACTGGATGTAATCCAAGGTCATGTTGTACATTCTTGTTTTACATATGATTTGAATTCAAAAGAATAAATCTGATAAAGGTAGAAAAAACAAATGCAAATTAAAGTAATGTTTATACGAATAAAAGAATTCCCATGTCCTTTACAATACATGTATATTTTATTATGCAGACAGCATGTATATAACAAGAAATATGTTTTACTTGTTATATTCTTCAAGCATGTCCAGAAAACAGAAGGTGATATATAATAGTCATATGAGACACAACACCAAAAGATAAACTTTTTACATTGTGTGTGTTTTTTAGTAAAGTTATAAGTCTTGACTTTTTGCCTTCAAACATAAACAAGATATATAAAGGTACACAATAATAAACTACAAAACAGGGACAGATGATTCCTGCTATTTCTTGTTGTAGTGAATATAATTCTAAATGTTATAAAAGCCTGTAACTTACTTGATTTCTTTCAAACTTATCATCATGTGATTTTGACTTTTTCAGTAATCTACGACCAGTACTGCCTAGTTCCCCATGGATGTAGATATACACGTCAGAATCTGTACCAGCACTCCTTACATCTCCTGTGTATGTCTTTATTTGGTACTGTAGCACTAAGAACAAAAATCATTTTCTATAGTTTATATCAGTAAAACACTCATTGAAAATATTTTAAAAAATGTAATAAAAAAATTTCAGAATATATTTCATTTACATAAAAAACATCTTTAAATTTTCCTCTATAAACTAACAGTCTACTCATTAAATGAATATTTCCTATATATCTATTTGTGATTATAATCATTATGTTTCTAAAGTTAGAACAAACCTACTACTCTGCAATACAAGACTGCCAGCATTTCAAAATGCTATCTTGATTCGCTTAAACTCTCCTCTAATCGACCTTCTGTTATGTCAAGTTTGTTTACTTCATAAACATGATACCATACATGCTTAGATGCACTTAAATTATAGAAAGTTTTTTTTTACAATTTGTTGAAATTTGTCTTTCAATGAAATCAAAATGTTTCGATTTGGAAAAATTCATTTTAATGGGAGATAACTAACTTGGTGGAGTTGTATATACCGAGTCTCATATTTTGGTAGGATATGCTTTGTTAACAGCTTGCACCAAAGATAGGATTAGGTAAAGTCTTAATAAACGGGTAAATTTAGGGTAAAGGCTATGAGCAGAAAAGTTATATTCCTCAACCTGATGAGATTACTGTAAGTGAATGTTACCTTTAGGTATATTAATGGCTGGCCATGCTGCAGGTACTTCCTTCCATCCATCATTATATTCATCAACAACCATCCAATCTTTTACTTCATAACTAAACACATCACCCGTATCTAAATCTTCACACTTTATCTACAATATGTTAAGAAATGAGTATCATTTAGTTAAAGAATAACAAGTGTTTTCAACAAGCAACATATCATCTTATGTAGATTTTATGGAGAAAGACAAACCAAGTATTCAAGTTCTCAACTTAAAGCAGAATTTTCCCCTTATTATTAATACCTCAAGACAATAAAGTTGGAAAATTTAATTCCTTTTTTTTATTTCAATCACATATTTTTATAACCTACCAAACAGTTTATTTGACTCAAATTTCATTTGAATATGCATAGGATATTTGATATTTGGTGCATTGCAACAATCAATCAATCAATCAATCAATCAAAACAAATAACATGAACAATGGTTCTCACTGATACCACTGTTTGTTTTAATTGTATTCTTAAAAATCTCTGGTAATCTAGATTTTACCTCCTCATTGGAATAAATGAAATATATTTACTTTACTTTTCTAAGCATGACTTGTGAAAGTAAAACTTAGCTGCTTATTTGTTGATCTATTAAGGTCACATTTAATTGAAAACATTAAAGCCTACCACATTAAACATGGTAACCTCACACAACCTTAGTATTATTTTTTTTCACGATAAAAATGTCTCCCATAAAAGCTGTAGTTAGTGATTCACAGACCAAAATATTAGACAGTCACCAGCATAACCTGGAACCCCTAGACTTTAATAACTTACCTTTTTAATGAGCCATCCTTTATTGCTTGTATTATCTTGGAATCCAAGTCTGATCTTATATAACTCTTCTATAACTTCAGAAAACTTTGCCTGCAAAGAGTATAAAAAAACAGTATTCTCAATTTTTTTCTCACAGTGATTTCCTTTGCAATTTGAAGTCAATATATATTTTTCGTATTTATTCAAGAAACCATTTAATGTTAAGTTCTATAAAACATGGATAAAAGAGAACGGTAAAAATATTAAACCTCAGTTGCAAAACCCATTGCTTATCTTCTGTCAAATCAAAATTTAAAAAAATATTCTTTTCTGGCATTTCCAAAGTATCCTTACATCAAATACATCTGTCTGACCAATCTGGAATGGCTTCTCTTTTGTTGTGACTATTTTGACAGGTTGTGTTTCCTCATCTTCGGCACAGAGTACCATGACAACATCTCCAAAGTTTTCTTCTCCCTTATTACCGCCTGTCTCTGCAGTAAGCTTCCATCTTCCTTCTATAATGATGAAAGTTGACATTATAGGATTAAACACATTTTCTAGATGTATTGAAACGTAAACTGGGGCAATATATTCACAAACTGAATAAAATTTTCTCAACCCATTTTATTTTTCTTTTGAGTTTAACTTTCTTCAACCCAAGAATCCCATTCATGTGTATTGCACAGTGAAATTTCCATAGTGTTTACATAGGTTACACAAGTAGTTTCGATAAAATGGTCTATCATAGTGTAAACTATAAGGGATAATCACATTTAAATTTTTATAGATATGCAAATCATAAAAAAAATATTTCATATTAACACCAGGGAAATATATTCATATGCGATGATTTTTTTCCTAAGGAGTAAGAAGATACATTCTGACTTTCTAAATATTATTTCAATTTTGGAAGGTTATTCACATAATAAAAAAAGCCAAAAACATACATAACAGAAATAACTTTGTTTTTTTCCAATAGACTAAATAAAGAAGAGATAGGTTTCGATAGGAAATATTTGAGTATGAGATATTTCCCTTGGACGACATTTTGGATGATTAAATGATTGATTTTTCTTTTTTCACAAACCAATTTGAAATATGCTGTACAACCAAGACTGATAAGAGATCCTTACTAGATCATAGTGATAAAGCAAGCAAAGCTAAAAGAAATTATAATTGTTCAGAAATTTTTTTTCTAAAGTCTAGCAGACAGTATAACAAGATGAATTTGACTGTTTTATGAATGAATTTGTGCACTTAAAGCTCCAACATGGCAAAAAGTGGAAGTAACTCTTTCTCAAATTGGGTCAATCGAAACCTATCTATATATAAAATTATCAAAGCAGTGTGTTCCAACTGTTTACATGAAATATAAAAATATTCAGTCAAGAGTAAACTGATTACATAAAATATAGGAAAATTAGTTCTTACTAGATATAGGTAAGTTGTCTGACCCCAAGGCTGGTATAACAACATGACTGTTCTGTACAGCTGTTAATCTTATAGTCTCCTCTATTTCTGCTGGTGTATCAGATTTCTTCCCTATCCAACTGTAAGCATAATTACAGGTCATTAGTACATGTACTCAAATCTAATAATTTCTATCATTATAGATGAAAAAATAATTAAAAAAAAAATTCAAATTTATTTTTTACTGTTGATTCAGTTATTTTTGTGGATACCAATTTTCTCAGATTGGGAAAAAATTGTATCAGGAGATATTGAGTTTCGTGGTTTTGACAAAGTCTGCATACAAGCATATAGACACGCATACTTTGGTGAACATTTGAATTCATGGTTTACCTTAACCCACGAAATTAACGAAAATTGATACCCCACGAATAATAATGTACATTAAACTTAATCCATAAAGAAGTATCATTTTTGGCAGAATGTGAAATTTCTTCATGAAATCAAAAATGAATAACTTGCTTTCAGAACTAAGTCAGTTGCCTAATGCTATAGTATTTACTTACTTATCATGAGAGAATATGCTTTCTTGTGAAGCAAAGTCAGAGGTTTTAACAACAACTTTTTCTAACAACCAAGGATTCCCAGGTCCTTTTGTCACTACTACTTTCTCTAATTCTCCAAGGTCTACTGCATGCACAGTAAATATGTCTATCTATATACAGAAAGATGACAACATTAATGATAGCATAGATGAAATAAAATCATAGTTATAGATAAAGATGTACTGTGTATTCAACTGCAATATATGAACAATCATTTTGTGAAGATTCAATGATCTAGGTAGATAACTGTAGTGATTACACCAATTTGGTACCAGTACTATGTCTTTTTTTGTTATCTTTAAATGAAAAAAAGGTTCAGAGGTTTAGAAATCCTCAAACAGCTCTTTAATAGCAGTTGCAGTTTCAACATGTGTTCAACCTTTCTGTGAAGTTTCAGGGATCTAGTTTAAAAACTGTAATAGCAGTTAAATATACACTTGTTTTGTAAATTTTGCTGAAAATGGCGAAGTTCTAAAGTCTGGAAAAATAAGAACAATTCTTCAAACAATTCCATAATAGCAGGTGTACAACTTCAACACATAAGCATTCTTTCTATAAAGTTTCAGAGTTCTGGATTTTAAACTGTAAAAATAACATATCCATTTTCCCTACTCCTCCTGATCTGAGGTCCAAATAAATCCATGTATTCATTACATTTATGAATAAAGAGTTTTGCCATGAGTGCATGTTACACAAGTCGCTTTTTCAAAGAATAAAGTTCCATAACTCCTCCATGTCATATCAGAAATTTATAAAAAAAACTAAAGGGAGGTTATTTTAATAGATATAAACCAGTCACCACGTTTTAATGAAAACTGCTCAAAGAACTTTTGAGTTATTGTCCGAAAACGTGAAAATCTCCCTTTTTTAATGAATAAACCCCCACAACTAAGAAATGTTAAATCTTAAATTTATAAAAATTGAAAGGGAGCTCATGTCAATAGATATAAACAATTCACCAAAGTTTCATGAAAACTGCTCAAAGCATTTTTGAGTAATTGTCCAAAAACTGGAAAATCCCCCTTTTTTTAATGAATAAAACCCCATAACTCAGAAACGTAAAATCAAAAATTTATAAAAATTAAAAGGGAGCTCATGTCAATAGATATAAACAATTCACCAAAGTTTCATGCAAATTTTTGAAGTTATTGTCCGACATGTTGACGACGGACGAACTGACAGACGGACGGACAGAGAATGGTATACCATAAACGTAAACGGGCGTATAAAAATCAATTTCTTGATGCTTACATAGAAGGTTAGACACACATTAAGTATTAGAAGAAACTTAGAGAGTTACAACATAACAAACCTGTCCTGTTTGAAATTTTGTTTTATTGTTCCGGCTTTTACTTAGAAGTCTTCTGCCAGAATCTCCCAGCATTCCATACAGAGTAATAAATACTTGAGAATTGGTGGCTGCATTCATTTCCTCTTCACTTGTGTGAACTTCCACATGATAAGGAAATACTACAATTATACAATACATTTACTGACCAGCTGTTTTACTTTTGTTACTATGACAGTGACTTGACTGTAAGTGTTGCTCTCCACCTGTTGCAGTTTATTCAACAGTGATTTTCCTGCCTTTATTTTAGGGCCGAATATTGGCCCCGTTCCCAATCAGAAAATACCTGAAATTTTCCCAATTGAACCCGTAAAATACCCAATCAAGTTGTAGCGGAAAGGTATTTCATAATTTCATTGGTAGTATGATTTGGTTCAAAATATAAGTTGTTTTACTGTTCCCGAAGAAAATCATGTCGAATATAGACAGGTAACTATCATATTTTGTAAACCAGTTTTTACAATGGTTAAGCTTAGTTCAGCATTTGGATGACGGTGGTTAACAGGTAAAAATTTGGAAAGATATGAAGAGATGATGCTGTGTTATTATCTAAGTAACATTGTAAATATATGCTACATGAAAAATTAAAAGGTTTTCAGTATTTCTCATATTTAAATTTTTACTATATGCTTTTTCGGCAATTTCGTACTGAGCTAAGATATGCCGGTCTGGTTTATTTTTTTTGCTGTGAATTGAGCATGCTCAAACAGACAACATGTCCTCTCGTAATTCAAAATATTATGTTCACAAATTAAAAAAAGGCAAAGATGCCACTGATTGTAAAAAACTTCCAAAATTAGTACTGAAGATACTACCTGAACGATAATGTTTCTACTTTTACGGATGTAGAACAGGATGAAGCCGTGGTTGTGGAGATTAAAGGCACTAAAGAAGTCACCTCAGACCCTAGTACTAGCTCTGAACATACTGTTTCTACACAAACACCCAGTGTTCTCCTTTTTGTCACGAAGGTAAGGCAGGTGTTTTGAAAAAAAAACAAACTTGCAACCGGGTGTTTTATATTTTTTAAACATTTCCAACCAATTTTTTTTACTGTGGGTCACAAAAAGAAGGATTAGTATTGTATTCACATTTAATGGAATTCAACAAAAATAAATAGATCAAACCAAACTGTTCAACTGGTAAGAAATTTTAACAAACTACTGTAGAAAAACACAGTCAAGTGGTGAAAATGCAAGGTGATAAAATAAAGCATAATTACAATCCTGTAAGACTTTAATTCCACGTCCTTGATATTAAGAAACATCAGTCTAACAATTTCTATACAAATTTTATTGTAATTGTCATGCTAAAAGTGATAGGTAGTTATTTTTGAATTGCTATAAAAATGTCCAAACAAAGCTTTCATACAATTTTTCTTTGGAAAGGTCTTCTATATTCATATATATAAGAATCAGACATCGTTTGAATTAAAACATCTTATAATCAGTAAAATATATGTGAAATTACAATACGTTGTTTATAAGTTTCCATGGGAGAAAATCTAAAATCATTGATCTTTTGAAATATTGATCTTATCTCCCTTTAAAACTTCAAGAGAATATATTTAAGCTTCAAGTATATTTCACCAAATATTTTAGAGATTAATTCAAAGGAAGCTTTGTAGCATGCATAGAAAAACACCAGTTTATTAGAAATAATTCAAAAACTTAAATTTGAACATTTCAAAAATTACTACCTATCACCTTTTGTATGACAATTACAATAAAATTTGTATAGAAATTGTTAGACTAATTATTCATATTATAATTGAAGTGGAATTAAAGTCTTATAGGACTTAATTATCAAGAGAAGAAAAAAGTCTTATAGGATTGTAAGAATGCTTTATTTTATCACCTTGCACTTTCACCACTTGACTGCGTTTTTCTACAGCAGTTTGTCAAAATTTCTGACCAGTTGAACAGTTTGGTTTGATAAAACAAATTGCAATTTGGTTAGAATTTTGAATAAACTTCAATAGGTGGAGAGCAACACTTACAGTCAAGTCACAGTAATAGAGAAGAAATGTACATTCTACCCAATGTAAAAATATGAAATGAATTTCAGTAAAATTGATACTAATGCATCTTCCTATATGTTAAAAACTTTAATATTCCATGATTTCTACATCATAATAAATATAATACCAATTTTTCTTTACTATTATTACATAATTTAAAAGGTCACTAGCATTTTCAAAGATGTGTTTCTATATTTATTGTTTATTGTGAAATTTGATAGTGCTCTGTTTTATCGGTTGATGAAATCAGTGGGACTAGCCACTATATTTCTGCAAGTAATTGAAACTATTAGTCAGTCAGATGATCCTGTGCAATCACCAATAAGACAACTAACCATTGCAAGACCCAAAACTCATCAGTTATAAGGAAGAATGGTGAACTTTCTTTTGAACTTTAAAAAAAAATTAAGTGTATATTTAACATACTTTGTTTTTGACCTTTTCCTAATCTCAAAACTGGTAATTCTTTCCTGAAATCACCTTTGACCTCTCCAACCCAATGTGAAAAGTCAAAGGTGAAAATATCTTTAGTATCGTCGTCTTCTAATTCAATCTGAATAAAAAAACAAGAACAATGTACATCAATTAAACATTTTTGTAAAGGAAAGAAATTGCAGAGTGAAAACCTACTGTAAAATTTATATTTCTGTCAGATTGAGAACTTTGTTATCAACTTTCTTGAATATATCTAACAAACATAAAAAAATAACAATTAATTATGAATGACTTAACACATATGTTATACTTACTTTTTCAGTTGTCCAAACAGATTCAGGATCCTCTTCATATCCAGCACAAACTCGGATTTTCTTGATTTCACCGACATCAATAGATAATCCCTACAAACATTATATAAACTTTTTATACTTATATATTTCAAACAACTTTTTTCAACTATTTGTCCTTGTATTACAAGTAATAATTTCATGTAATAATGTCAGATTGTTAAAATATTTTTTAATGTTAAGTGTTTTTACATGTACTACACTTTACCTTGAACACATCAACATGTCCTGGTAAAAACAAATCTGCTCCTGGTTTGTCCAGTTCTATTGGTCCAACCACAGATTTACTGCCATACACCATCAGTGATACCATGCGAGATTTCTCACTTCTATCTAAACCTTTTGGAGGTAGTCTCTCTCTATCAGCTGTTGTCACTGTACATGTGTAGATACCCTCTAAAGGAATAAATATTTCAAATGGTTATGTAATTTATATTTTCGCTAATCATTATTCTGTTAATAAAATTTGATCGTTCATCTAAATGGACAGAATTCACCAATACATAAGATCTAAAAAGACTATAAGCTTATTGTGATGAAATTCATTTTCAAATAAAAATGTACACAATTTATCATCTGACAGATATAATGGAATTTTATGCCAAAAAATATCACAAGTTCTTGTTCTTACAAATTTCATCAGGTAAAGATAAAATTCTTCTTTTATTCGAAATATAAGCTATCAATAGAATTTGCATAACAGTTATTACTAAACAGTATGCTTACTTGATGTCCCTGAAGGTGGAGCCACTACTGGCATATCTCCAATATATGGCAATTCTCTCATCAACTTCCTGTCTTCACAACCTGTATCCATCCACCTAAAATAATTAAGAATAATCATTAAGTTGTTTTCACTATCTTTACAGTCAATCTCATTAAACCATGCTTGACACTTGTAGCTGTTGACATATAAAATGATAGAGCCATACAAATTTAATACCGGAGATTAAGTTTGATTAACTTCTATTCAATGGTTTCAAAGAATTAGGGCTACAAGACCATGATGAAAGATGACTCATACGTCAGAGCCCTGTGTTAGACAATGATATGTAGGCTACACTAAAAAGCTAACAAGAAGATTATAATTTTCCTTACCTGTTACATGGAAATATCTTCATAACTGGATTAAGTTTAGATTTAATTTGTACACGTTCGCAAAACCATCCTCTTCCTCGTCCTTTCTCATTATGACCTATTACAACTTTCTGCAGTTTCCCAAGATCCAAACTTTTAATAACAAATTCATCAACCTGTATCATATGATAAAGGTAGATAGCAAGGAAGAATTGTTAGCTCAAAAATTATGTAACGATAACTGGTCTAGACAAACAAAAATTCTATTTCTTTTTTAACTTTGTATATTACAAAGGGATACAGAAAAAGGTTATGTAAGGCAAACTTCAATCAGACACAAACTCAACCATACATGCTAATCAAATTATAACATTTAGAGGTAATAATAATAAGTAAGTAGATACTTCATAACAGGCTTTTAACTACTAACAATTTAAGGTGATCCTTTAAATCAAAGTCTATTAGATTTTGCACTACACTTGTTTTCATTTCCCATATATACCATACTTTCATGTGAAGTTTTGTAATAAATATCTTGTAAATGATTGATGTCAGACTGACGTGTATTGTAATAAAAGGCTGAATGTAATGAGACATAATAAGCTATAAACAAGATATAAAACTATTAGCTAATCTAGAAAAGAACAAAAAAACCTGAATAAATAAAACAAGAATGCATGCATTGTGGTGCTCAACATAACCCCACTCATATTTCATAGTATCTGACAGCTAAATCATTGTCAGAGAAGATTTCTGATTTGACAAGACTTAATTTACAGATAGTAGAGTTAAAACTTATTTTCTGGGTGATTATCTATCAACTTATCATATATGTTACTGACACAGTAATAATGCATAAATAAAAATAAAATCACAAAAAATGCTCTATTAAATCATACAAGTACTACAGATTTCTCTTTTAAATACTTAATCTTTTTGATAGTAAGTTTTTCCCTGTAGTAAATATAGCAGGTCGTAAATTTTGTTCTTCTTTTTCATTAACATCTATCAGCCTTTAATAAGTGGGATTTTAGTTAATGGTTTCCAATGTGAAGATGTCGTAATGTAAATTTCTTGATGATATCTAGTCATGTCAAATTATTTATATACTATAACACAAACAATATTTTAATAAAAAGATTAAATTCGTACCTGTCCTGTTGTGAACGGAACTGGTGAGTTTGACTTTGACAGCATACGCCTGCCCGTGTCTCCAAATTGACCAATGAGACAACAGAATACATCTGCCTCTGTATCTGCCATATCCTGATTACCAGTGGCAACATACAAAGTAAACTCATCTTCTATAATTCATAAAAAGTATACACAAATTATAGCATAAATAAATACAAATATGAATATCAGAATAACATAAAAATCAATTTATTTAATTACAACAAAGGAGTTTCTGTTTCACTTTTATTAAATTTTAAATTCAAGAATCTTAAACAAAAGAATAAGAAACTTTAAACTGATGGGAACTTTATATATGCAGAAACAATTTCATAACACAAGTAAACAAGTAACATTGAAACTGATCCAGTAATATCTAAGAAACAAAATATATCTTATAAATAACTTTAACTTGGTCTATCTACTAATTTTATATAACTCTTAATTCCATACCTTCTAGTGGTGATAGATCAGGTCTAGTTACTGGCAATTCTAAACTACCATCAGGATTTCCTTCAGTTCCAACTAACTCTTTATCTACTCTCATAATAACTTCTTGTAATGTATCATGGTCCTTCATTTTTAACTACAATCATATGAAACATCAAAAACATTAAATACATAAAGACATGTTACAATAAATTCCATTTTGAAGTATTTTAAAAACTAAACAAATCAAGATACATCTATTCTAATAAAAATCTCTTAAGAAAAAAAATTCTAAATATGTAATCAGTAAAAATAGCTTTGGGTTTTTATGCAATAATCATTTATAGCATTTGTGTCTTTAAACTATGACGAGAAAGGAACTTACACTTGAAAGGAACCATGGAGATCCAGTGTAGTCACCACCAAAGTATAATCTCACTTTAAATATTGCACCCATGTCCCCTATATTAATCTGAAAATATAATTACACAATATAGTATACATCCTTAGAGCATATCAAATAGTACTGTCCCATCTTTAAATCAACTATAAATTTCAAGTGAAATGTATCACTAAATCAAAACTTTACTTAACAAACAGGTAAATCATTGATTTATGCAAACCCCATTAGAATTACTTATTGCATTAAAATTACATTAGATGAAAGCCAACCAAAACCTTGAAATTTAAAGACATAATTTAAAAGCATCTTTATTCATACTTAAGATATAGTGTAAACTGATTACTGTAAATTCAGAAATTATTGCGATGTTTTTATTATTGCGAAAAATGCAACAGGGTTATAATCGCAATAATTTAAACTCGCATTTTAAAATTTTTTATATGAATTAAACAGGATTTTTCTCAATATCACAATAATTAAAATCTCAATAATAAATGCACACAATAATTTCTGAATTTACAGTATAAAAGATAATTTCAAATAAAAAATAAATGGTGAATGTGTCTACGGGTCACTGATGCCCCTGCTCGTAAATATGCACGAGTCAATGTACTAATTAATGACATTTTCTTTTCTTTTAAAGTTAATGATATATATTTCTAAGGTTGTTATAAGAAATTGCTTGCAGGTTTGAGTGCTCTCATTGTTCAATAACAAATAGTAATTAGGGAAGTTGTTTGTTTTTTGTTCTTTTATGTAAGAGAACGGAAAAGACAGATTTAGCAATTTTTCCATTTATAAAGGGGCATAACTCTAGAACGATAAAAGTGACACCACCCAATTTCAAACTTGATCTGTGTTTTGTGGTAATAGGCATTGGGTATAAGTTTCACAACATTTGGTTGAGGCAAACTAAAGTTAGAAAAAGGAAACAACAGATTTAACAATTTTTATGTTTATAAAGGGGCATAACTCATGAACGGTAAAAGTGACGCCACCCAATTTCGAACTTGATCTGTGTTTTGTGGTAATAAGCATTGTGTATAAGTTTTATAAAAATTTTGGGGATGTATGCGACCGAGGGACGGGACGGACATTGGTATCACTTAATGCCCCCTTCGCCTTTTGAACTTGATCTGTATTTTGTGGTAATAATCATTGTGTAAAAGTTTTATAACATTTGGTTGAGGCAAACTAAAGTTAGAGAACAGAAACCAATTTTGGGGACGTACACGACGGACAGACAAGGGTAATACTTAATGCCCCCTTCGCCTTGATTTCACTTGACACAATATAATATATATAACATGGTAAAATACAACACTTTAAGCATAAGCATTACTTGACATACATCAGTTTTGACTATTGATCTTTGATTGAATTCCATTTTGTCATTTAGTTGAATAGGTTTGGACTGTCCGTTGAGTCCATATACAATCATATGGACCGAATCCTCAGTCCCACCATTGCTGTCTGGCCCACAGTGTATCCACACAGTCCAATTACCTCGAGATACTTGTGGTCTTATATCTTTGTACATATTTTGTACAATCTCTGATGGACAAGAGACAGGAATGGTTTCTTTAAAAAAAGAAATAAGGCATTTAGCAAATAATAAAGAAAATGCTCAAATTCATCCTGTTGTATCAATCAGTCATATCGAAAAATAAATCATGGTGGATGGATTACAAAGTTTTAGCTGTACTTTTTTTTTTTATTTAAGTTTATTCTGACTTTTTTATTGCATACATTAACTTTCAAAAGTATTACTGGAAAGAAAAATCAATGGCAGATTTTCATTTTATTTCGTCTTTGTTGTCTTACATAGAAATGGAATACCATACAAACTGTAATATAAGCCTGAGACCAGTGTCTCATCAATAAACTCAATAAGACTATTTGGTTTAAGAGTGAGAAGTCAATATTTAATATACATAAGGTTCTAAACCTACCCGACAAATCAAATTCTTTACTGACAGATATCTGGTCTGTTTCTGTACTTAACATTGTGTAACAATTGAAGACAGACTTAGAGATAGCTGAAACTTTATCAAATATACTGATCCTGTCCAGACACCATTCTTCTGCAAAAAAAATCCAATATGTTACTTATTCTATTAAGAAAACTCTTTAATAACTTTTGCCTCCTTCTGAAACCTTCATTGTTACAAGAAAGATGGCTAATTTAGAAAAAAAAATGCTGTAATTAGTTTTCAAAACAATAAATATATACATGTAACTATCAAACATGAAAAATAAAATGTTCAAATTTAAAGCATAAAAGATAAAAATTTGTGTTTATTGATGAGTTTATGTTATGAGGATTTTAAAATGGAGCAAATGTTTTAGTCATTAAAAATAACTTCTCTTTACAAAAAAAAATTAATAATCTGTATCTAAAGGAAGGTTATAAACTAACCTGTTCCAGTTCCTTCATATCTAACATGTATTTTTTCTATTTGTCCTACAGATATGCTTTCTATCATGTAAATGTCTTCTTGTTTTGGTTTCCATGGTTCTGCATTGGAGGTTAATGACTTGTTTAATCTTCTCAGTCCTGTGTCGCTATGGTTACCAATCAAATTCATATACACAGCACCTTTACTAGCTGAAGCATTTGTTTTGCTTCCTGTCTCAATTATAATAATATACTGACAAGCTGAAAAAGAAATTCACTAATCTCTAAGGTGATGCCATTATAGGAACTACAGAAACGGGAAACAACAGCTAATCCCCTTAATCGTTATATTTTCATTCATTTTGTTATTCATATCAATAATGAAGGTCAAGATCAACTAATTTGTTTGTGGACCTATGCACTTAACATGATACAACGACCACTTTTAGTTGTAAGATTTTTTTGTAAAAAGAGCTACTGGATCTTTAGCAAAACAACAAAAGCCATTCATGTGCCAAAAAAAGGTACATTTTATTTCCCAAGCCAAAATGGTGGTTTAAAAATTGTAAAAAATAGTACTTGAACTTCACTTTATAGAGAGTAACAAATTTATGCTATATAAATTTTCCATCTACTTACAAGGCTGTGGTACTCTATCTGAATTTATAACAGAAAATTCCCTGAGTATCTGTCCATCCTCTTCATCTATAGCAAACCATTTGTTTATATAAAACATTACTTCATCATTGTCACCTCCTGTTAATTTCACCTGTGATAAAACAGAATCTTCTAAACAAGGTTACATAGGAATTATACAAACAATATAAAACTTCAATCAGGTTAACAGAATTTGCATAAACAGTAAGGTTTTGTCTATGGCATAAATATATAAGATATAGGTAAAAAAAGTGTTACAAAATTTGTTATGTAAAGTTATCAAGACAACTGTTGTTTCTCCAGCTCTATTCAACTCCAAGTAACTGCATAAGTTTTCCTACTCAAAACCTTTCTTCAAACATATCGTAATACTTACCCAATCAACATGCCATGAAGGATGTTTACTGGTACCATCATGTTCTAATCTGATCTTTGTTAGGTCACCAATATCACCAAAAGATACCTGTGATATATATGCATTCTTTAACAATGAATAAGAGTCTTCCATCTGCCAAAAAAGGCATAGACATGTTTTAATTGATACATTGAGACTGTACATTTTTGTAAGTTTCTAAAAGATGTTATTGTACTAAGGCTGCAACTCTTTCAGCAAATTTGGATGTTAAACAGTTTTGTCTGGTCTGTTTTTGTTTTGAGATTCTCAACTTTTTTAATGTATTACCTTCAGAAAGGTTTGGTCGGATGAAGATTTTTTCAAGTAACATGTGTCTATTTCAATGAAATCAGTATTATACATATCAGTTTCTACTTACATTGATTTCTGATTCAGCACCTTTAGCAAAGATATGAGAACTATCTGGAGATGTCAAAGATAATTTATCTGACTGTCCTTTAGTACCATATGCTGTGAGGTAGACCTGAGCTTCTGTTCCAGCATTATCCAAATCACTTGTCTTTACTGTTACCTGAACGTTCTTCCATTTACCTGTGAATGTAAATATCTCCTATATTGGCCAGAGAACAGTTATTTCTTAGTGCATTTCTTTAAGACAATAAATTAAAATTAAAAAAATCGCACCTGCTCTATCTCAATAAAGATTTTTACAGTGTAGTGTACTACTTTTGGGACAAATAATATCAAAATTATAGAAAAGTCTACCAGCTCTAACTCAAAATATGGACAATTCTATGTTGAGGGTCTATAATTCAGTTTGACAGCTTCAAGCTTACTAATTTTTTACCTTTTTAACTGGACCAAATCACTACTTTACATAAAAATTCATCACCCAAATTTTTTTAACATGTAATTTCATCCCCCTACTTAATATTTCATGCATAAAATATAAAGAAATAAATTTGAAAAGTGTATGAAAAAAATTTTCAAGTTATACACTGTCTACATTAGGGACTATATTCGTAGACAATAAAAATCAAAGGACGATAACTGTGTCCTCGGACCTATTTATCGACTATATCATTTTATCTAAAATTTATATAAAAAATATGAAAAAACAAACCTTTACAATATTGTTTACTGAAAACATTGATACTTTAGATTGCAAATTACATGTTTTTAATGATAAATACCTATCAGGCTGAACCAAAAAATTGCCCTCTATTTTCACATTTATTTGTTGGTGAAACTAGAACTTTTACTCTCTATTTTAACTGTGAAAGTTCATTAATAAAACTATGAGATACCAGTATACAAACTGAGTGTACTTGGTCATTGTTTCATGTCTGTCATATTTGTTTTTTTCGAAAATTGTATTGTTATCAAGTAGGTTTTTATTTTTTTTTTCTCATTTGAGTTGTTTCACATTTTACCATGTTGGAGCCTTTAATAGCTGACTATACAGTATGGGTTTTTCTCATTGTTGAAGCCTGTACGGTGACCTATAATTGTTTATACCTTCGTCATTTGAACTTTGGTGGATAGGTGTCCCATTTGCAATTATACCAATATTTTTATATGGTCAAAGTATTAATATTGTAACACTTACCAGCAGTTTTACTGGAATCAAGCTTTGGTTTAACCTTTTTAGTATCTAAAACATCTGAAAAGGATTTAAAAATTCAAACCATAATTGCCTCAAATCATGTATAAATAAACTAATTTGTTTTATATTTTACCATTTTCCATGCTATATTATCAACAAAATAGTCTTTTTCTTTGGCATTACTTACCTTACCTTAATGAAAATGTTTTCATAACAGAACAACCCATCATATGAACCCGATCTGACTGCAATTATTTTCTAGGTAACACAAACCCCCCATTTGGACCTGACATTCATGCAAAGGAATTTTAAATATTTGGACAAATAGTAAATGTATTGTATGAACAGACAAACAATTTGAACGATCAGAATAACAGAATAATAGATAATTTAAGTCTCTTATGTCTCCAATCGTCCACCTTATCATACAACATTTGACTCGAAAAGTGATCTTACCTAAAACAGGAAGTGTCCTCCATGTCTTCCCATCACCCTCTCTGTCATCTAACCATGCTCGACATGGGAAGACATACTCTTTAGTTGAGTCATCTTTCTCAGATATCACAACTTTATCTAGATACATCCCAGCACCATGACCTTTTCTGTCGTGTCCAATCTCAATGTGTGTTAAGTTTTCTAAAGATACAGCCTCAATTTCAAATAAGTCTATTTGTCCACGCTGGAATTTTTGTGAGTTATTTTTGGAATGGTACAAAAGTCTTTTGCTTGTATCTCCTATAGAACCAAATATATTGATAAACACACTGGCATCAGTGTCTGCTCCCCAATTGTTTCCTGTATGAATGCTTACTTCATATACTTTAACTGCAAAAAAACAATGTAAAATAAATCAAATACAATATTTAATACTCATAAGGTTTCAACTCCTTCAGGCAAAGTTTACCTTAGATGGATTTTGCTATTATTTCAAGTCCTTTTTGGCCATATAGCTCTGAAAGGGTTTCGGTTCTTATACATCCCTTACTTTCAAATATTTGGCTTTGAGCGTTCCTGATGAAGGTAAATTCAGAAAAGCACTTCAGACGCACAAAATTTATGACGTGTTGTTTTTTATTTTTTCTAGAATAAACTATATTGTACTACAAATAGAACTTAATTTTTTGCTGAAATGGACATAGAATATAAGAGATGGACAAACAACAGAGCTTTAAAAATATTCTATAATTCTGGAAAATAAATTCTTGACACAGCCCATAATATATACCTTGTGGTGTAGACCCTGTCTTCCTACTGATAGGGAATTCTCTTACAACATCAAAATCTTCCTTGTCACGAGATAACCAGCGATCACAGTGGAATGTGTATTCTTCATCTGTTTCTACATCTTGCATCTTTATCTGTAAAATTTGTATGCTGCATCATATGATGATCATTTTTCAAGGCACTGATTTTCATCACTGTCTTAACAAGTAAAACAATTTCTGACAGTCTAGAGTATACTTCACCATATACAATGCAAGCAAATGCTTCTAATTAATTTTTGCTGCATTAAATTCTCATACAAAACAAGAACTAATAATAGGGAGAAATAATTTCTTTCAAAACAATGATTCTGTTGAAAAATTTTGAAATTGATAAGAAACTAAGGTTCTTACTGATTAGGCTAATTTGACCTTAAATGGTTTTGCTTAATCTCTCAAAATCCCATTTTGGTGTTATATAGCTCCTCAAGAATTTATTCATCCTTGGCACTATTTTTTGTTTAAAAGCGTACATAAGTAAAATAAACCTTATACACATTTACTAACCTCTAACAGATGCCATCCTTCCCACTGAATTATATCTTGTTTTGTCAGCCTGATTTTATACAGTTCACCCAGTTCTCCTGCTGATATCTTAAACAAGGAAAAGTAAAAACAATTATCACAGAAATAGAAAGAGATTAAAATATACATAAAATTGAATGATTTTATCATTAAAAATAAAAGCTAGATTTTCAAAACACAATGTTTAAAATAATATTTTATTATACAGTGAAAAACCAATTGTACAATCAAAATGTTCTCATAAAATTCTTCTGTACACATGAAGATTAAAAAGTATAAAACTCAATAATTAAAAAGTGTAAATCCAGATGCACAACACAATCTTCATGCCTTACGGTATTCCTGATATAATATTAACATTATACTACTTATTTATTAGATACAAAATTTATAGTATGTTAAAGAGTTATTTGTAGTTTAATTGTCTAATACCATCACAGAAAAATATAATAATAAAATATATTTGAATTTCACTGCAGCTATTTGGACTGCCAATAGAAAACAAGTATTAAATATTATCATTTCATTAAATTGTGAACACATGTGCTCAAGCCAGTCAAGGTTTCAAAGAGTTATAAAGTAATAAGCCTCAGTATCAATGTGTAACCTATGAAAGAAAAAGTACTCAAAATAAAAAATATAAAAATTCCTTTCACCAACAACAAAATATATTTATAAAGATAAAACAAGGATTAAATGGGGCATTCATACTGTGCATTTCCATACCCAATTTTCTCATTATTAACTCATAAGAATATAAATTCCCAACTCCTTGTCTGAAGTTAAATAATATAAGCACAAAATGTATTATTATCAAAATTTGCTTACTGGTACAGGGAAAATCTATCAAAAAGCATGCAATCATAATAATTAATTGTTTACAATGTGAAAATAAATATCTATGATTATAGGTTGGTTTTTGAAATCTTTTGTATGTTAAAGTCTCGTTTAAATATTATTTGCATTATGGCATGATTTGAAATTTACGGTATTGTTATTAAAAATACCCATGCATGTAAGTTGTTTCGTTTTTTTTACTTTGTCTTTGACAAACCTGCTCATTTGTCCCTGATACTGTTATAATCTATCACAAAAACATAGTCATTTTTTTTAATTATAAACTTGAGATTTAACCATACATATAGCATGATCATAACAGGGCAATGCTGATACAATGACATGTAACAATCATGAGCAAAATTATTGTTGACCAAAAAATTGACCAAACTTGAAAAAATACTAACATACAATTGTTTTATAATCGTATTTTTGAAACTTTTAAATGCTATAAAATCAATATTTATTATCATACACAATTGCCTTGTTATTTTTTACTGATTTTCACTATTGTATTCAAAATGTCTATTTTGTTAATCATTTTTGCAGCTTTTAAAATCTCTTTCTCATAATCTCTTCAGATTTAATCATAGCACTTTTAAGGTAACTGTCATTCTCAAATACCTAATTCTTTAAAACTGTCACATTTAACAATCTGATGGTTATACATGTCAATCTGGCAGACGGGGAACAAATAAGACTCTTTCATCACCATGAGTAAATCAAAGAGCTGAAAGCTCTAAGTAAAAATGACGCCATTGTCTCTCATATTGGGATATTTTTGATACAAGTCTTGATTTTTACTTAATTTACCTACTGAATCTTAGGCGAGTTTCAATTTATGGTAGGTAGGGTGACTGATAGAATAGATATGAATTGTTTCCACAATCTATAGCGTTTTTATTTGTTTGTCAAGATATATATATATATATGTGTGTGAAGTGAAAATAACTACTAGTTTTTCTGCTGTACAAAGAAATAGCTCAAGACTACCTGAACAATCTACAATATTCAAAGTAATATGTGAATGTGTTTCCCTTATTTGTAGAATTATTTAACAAAATGATTATGAAGAGCCTGTAGTAAGAAAGCTCTTATACCCATCATAGTCCTTATTCAAGAGATAAGTTACAGGTGACCTAGTGACAACATCACATTGTTATTTCAGTTACCTAAACGTGACCAATTTCTGTAGATTTAGACAATAGTATTGGTGTACTAGTTTCACAATTACAAACAAAGTGACACCATCTATACAACTTAATTTCATTGTGAAGAGGCTGTAGTAAGCAAGCTTACACTGAAATCTTAAAATGACAACATAAATTATTGCAAAATTATTTTTTTTCAAATGATTTAATGTTGAGTACCGTAGTCATTTATTTCAAATAATTGACCCGTAATAAAATAAGGAGATGGGGTGTGATTGCCAATGAGATAACAGTCTGATGTACTATCTACCAGAGTTCAAACAATGTGGCTGTTGGCAGTTATAAGTCACTTTCAGACCTCAACAATGTACCAAACCGGTTTGTTTTCAGGTACCACAGGAAAAAGAGGAGTTGTGGCCAGGTGCTGCCAGGATTTAAAACTATTAGAATTACACAGTTTTGTCTGCATTCAGAGAAAATTTCATGGTGTAAACACAGCCATTTTTGTTGGTGTATATTAGATGAACCTTAAAGGTGAATTATCAGATTATTGGTCACAGGAATATTAAAGTGATTGTTGACTTTTCAAATATAAAAATATGTACAAAGAAGGAAATATATCTGATTCCTTGTGAAAATTAAAAGATAGAACATTGTACTTTAATTGATTTGGTAATTTAATTTCAAGAATGACAACATGTATGATCTGTTACCATAAGTGTAAAATTTGTCCATTAGCTACTGTTTATTATGTTTATGGTTGAACTGTATCTTTGAACTTTGTCAATCAGTCATGATTTCCTTCTTAAGCTGTGTAAGAACCTTTTTGTAATTGAAATTGGTCTGCCATGATCACGATTTCTACAATATTCTGAGTTCCTAACAAGTTCAAAATTTAGCACATTTGCAGTTTACAAAAACCAAAGATAAGGAGAAACAACGATTTTGATTGGCTGATCACAGTTGTCTCCCTTGGGAAAAGTTTGAGGAAAGTTCGAAATATTGGGAACAGTATAATTTAACAAAATCGTGGTTTAGAGGTTTTTACACGATCACAATCGTGCAATCGTGACAAGGAGTATTTCACGCCTGAATCGTGCAAGTTGGCAGGTATGACAGGTTAAGAAATTAAAGAATGAAAATTACAAATTTAATTCTGTTCCAGTTGTATTTCCAACAATATGATTGAAAATTGTCCGACGGTCACGAAGGTTAATGACCGCCATTTTGTACACAAGAAGACATATTGAAGGGAGACAACACCATCTGTTATTTTAAAATGTACATTTGCAACGCTGGAGTTGTCTTTCTTTTACCAATGTATGAGCATACTAACATTCACTTTAAGTATGTAAAATACGGAACCGAGTTCGGAAGGCGGGTTGGAAGTCTGGTCAATGGTAAAAGAAAATTGACTGCGTCATTTTCTAAAAAGATGAAAAACAGCATTAATTACCTCAAACTTATCAATGTTTCCTGGTTCAAACAAACTTGATGTAGAAGTTTGAGAGAACAGTTTGATCTCTTCGCTCCTACCAACATCACCATATAATACAAATGTCACAGATCCACCATTGGCAGGCAGGGAATCTTCTGCTGTCTTTATAGATAATCTATATTCTCCTTCTGATTAATAAATTACAGTTAATCATAAATAGTTAATACAACCAACTGAATCTTAATTCAAAGTTTTATATGTGAAGAGATTGAAATACAATTTCTTCCGTCCATTCTGATTAAATTTTGTTTCTAAATTCATTTATTTCCATTTCTTTCCTCAGCTGGGCTTCAGACAAATACTTTATATTTAAACAAGTAGATTACTGGATATTTCTTCAGTATGAAAAATACAATAGATTAAATTATATAATACTGCTAAACACATTACACAGTCAATGTAAAACAATTTATCAAAGACAATATGGAAACAGTTCAAGGCCCATAAAATATATATGAAAGAAAGTTCAAATAAGATATAATGATAACCTTCCCAAAATGATACAATGAGCTATTTGCCAGTAATGAACACTCATTTTATCATTTTTGACCAACAAAAAATATTTCTTTAAGCATGGACTGAGGTTTCAAATTAACTTCATATTTCTTTTTGTTCTGTATAACTTACTAGATTCTTTAGGCATGGGCTGAGGCTTCAGATTGACTTCACATTTACCATCACCATCATCTTCCACCAACCATCTAGAAAAAACATAACATTTGCAGATACAAATTTTAATATTCTATATTGTCTAATTTTCTATGTAGTGTTGTTTTTTGTCTTTTTTGTTGTATTTCATTTTATGCCATTGTAATGGTGCTGTATGATCTTTTTCTACTAATAAATTTTGATTGTTCCTTTGGTATCTCTCGCCTCTTTTTTATATGAAATGTCTTTCTTAGTAAACATTTAAGAATATAATATAACATTTATCTGTAACTTTATCACAAAATTTAATAATAAAATTCTACCATTCATTCTTCTGAAGGAAGTTATAATTCAGCTTCAGGCTTCTGGTAAAACTTCATATAAACGCAGTTCCATATAATCTTTTTACCTTGGAAGGAGGTTCTTTTGACTTAGAGAGTTATAAACTCTCATACCTAAAACTCTCATACCTGGACTAGACTAGTGTTAACATACCTGTCACATGGGAAGTAAAACTGTTCATCCTGGACACTGATGATAACTTTGTCCAGATATAATCCTGAATAATCACCATTGTTATCATGACTGATGGTGATTTCCTCCAAGTTACTCAAAGATACTGCTTCTATTTTGAAAACATCCTTCTGAAAATAAAACAGACCTGCAAATCTTTTAAGAAAAAGCAAAAAAGGACTACAGAGTTTAATAACTTGTTCTTGATTTTTTAACAATGAGAATGTGTCTCATGTATCAAAACATTATACTCTTTTTAAAAATATTCAATTGACCATTTCAGATTCTAATCGAGTAACCTTTTTTCTATTTTGGTGAACAATGAAATTACCCACAATACTTAAGATCATATTCAATTTTGAAAATATCTTGAAGAAAAATGTGAATATTTATAAAAGTATTCTCTGAAGTAACGAAAACTTAATAAGTAAGATGTTAATTTAGATGACAAGGCAATGACTCTATAGCTTTATAGCCATGATAAATTAACTAGCATGTACTTTTTACTCTAATATCTCAGATCCTGCTCAAATAAAATTTGGGCATGAAATATAAGAACATATCAATGCATGTGTTTAATATTTTCCTTACACTTCCTGTATTAAAAGGTGTATTTCCTTCAGATGACTGGTATAACCTCCTCTTCCCAGAATCCCCTATCTCTCCAGACATTAGTATAGATACTCTAGAACTACAGGCTGACTGTTGTTGTTCTCCTGTATATACCTCTACTGTGTAAACCACAACTGTAAATTAAATGTACATCATTAGTATAGATATTCTAGAACTACAGGCTGACTGTTGTTGTTCTCCTGTATATACCTCTACTGTGTAAACTACAACTGTAAATTAAATGTACATCATTAGTATAGATAGGGCATTAAAATTGTTTTTGCTTTCTAACAGTTAAACCCCTTGAAGGTTAGGAAAGAAACTTTGCATGATTATTTACATATACTAGAAAATGTGTTATGTACATTAAAGATATCCATATTTTGAGGGTCATAGTCAGAAATTAAGTTGAAATTTAGACTTTAAGGTATCTCTTTCCCTAATTTACCTGGCAGTGAGGGTTTATCAAAGAATGTTACAAGTATCTTTCTCCCTAATTTACCTGGCAGTAAGGGTTTATCAAAGAATGTAACAGGTATCTCTCCCTAATTTACCTGGCAGTAAGGGTTTATCAAAGAATGTCACAGGTATCTTTCCCTAATTTACCTGGCAGTAAGGGTTTATCAAAGAATGTTACAGGTATCTCTCCCTAATTTACCTGGCAGTAATGGTTTATCAAAGAATGTCACAGGTATCTCTCTCCAGACATCACAATCCTCCTGTTGTCTTGACATCCATCTGTTTACTGACAATTCAGTGGTTTTACTATTAACCATTAAATCTTGTAACTTAACCTGAAAATTATACAGATATTAATTCTAGTAGGTCATTAAACTTTATATTCTAATATAACTTATTCTTTTTATTTAAATGTTTTGTAGGATCAACTTTCTTTGAGTTTTTCCTACTTACATTATGTTTTATAACAAACAGAATACACCTACTGGTCAGGAATAAACTGTAAGCAATAAGCTTTCAAATATACAATTAGTACCTTTCAAAATAAAAGGATGAGAAATAATATATTGATCTATTACCACATGAAATTTGATGTTGCTCAGTCTTTAGATTTCTGTGTTGTGTTAAGTGGATTGTTGAATGTCTTTTTCTTATCTGTTCTTTTGTTTTTGTCATGGTGTTGTCTATCTGTCTTTGGCTTCTGGTTTTTAATTTATTGTTTGCTTGCTTAATGTCCAGTTTGTGATTGCTCCCTTGGTATCATCTTAAATAAAAACAAATTACCTTTTCTACAAACCATCCACTGTTATCTTTTTCTTCATCATGACCTATTCTGATCTTGTAAATGTCTCCTAAGTTAGTGCCAAGGTTAACCTTCAAAAGATGATACATATCATGACATCTATTAGTTTTCCAAACTTCTGACTATTAATGCTAAGGAAAATCTTCAGGAAGAACATAATTTGGATATTTTTCCTAATGTTGTATAGTTTTTTTTTCGAGACATTTCTTGAAAAATAACTTATTTGGAATTGTATGGACAGGAAGTTTACAAATAAAATAAGGCAAACTTGGAAATTCATGGCATTCCCCATTCAGATTTCCTGTTAATATCTTCCTATTAACAACTCAATGCCATTAGCAAAGGTTCCTTTTAATATCTCTTAATCTTATTTATCTGTTATTTTGGTTACTGTTGGAAAAAAATTTCTAAATGACATCTTTTTGAAGAACTTTATAATAGCATAGCATTAGAACACTAAATTTCTTTCTAATTTAGATTTATCATTAAACAAAAATTAATAAAAGAACAGTGTTCCAAAGTCCCCCGCGTTGCACATATTTTATCTATCCAAGGGCAATAACTAAAAAAAAAATATTTTTTTGTTCTTTAAAACTTTTTACATATATCTGAGAGAAATGAAGGCATGAGAGCAAATACAATGCAATTTCCAATATAATAAATATTTTCAATGGGCAACACTCCTTAAAAAATAATTCATCAACACTAATTTTCGAACTTGTCCAAGATATTGCTTATATAAATCTTTGAGATAAATTTGATAATAATCTGGCAAAAATTGTACACATGAGAGCGCTTACAATGCAATTTTCCCTATAACTGATATTTCCAAGGGGCATAATTCTTTAAAAATTATTAGATCAGCACTGATTTCGAACTTATCCAAGACATTGCTGATATAAACCATTGATATAAGTTTGATAAAAATGTACACATGAAAACACTTATAATGCAATTTTCCAAATAATTAATATTTCCAAGGGAAATAACTCTTTTTAAAATAATTGATCGACACTGATTTTCAACTTGTCCGAGATATTGCTGATATAAACCTATGATATAAGTTTCATAAAAATCTGGTAAGAATTATACACATGAGGGTGCTAACAATGAAATTTTCCATATAATAAATATTTCCAAGGGGCATAACTCTTTTAAAAGTAGTTGATCGGCACTGATTTTTGAACTTGTCCAAGACATTGCTGATATAAACCTATGATATAAGTTTTATAAAAAGCTGGCAAGAATTGTTCCCCTGAGAGCGCTAACAAAACCAAACGGACAGACGGATGGACGGTCGCCTGGTATTTCTATGTCCCCCAGAACATGTTACACGGGTGACAAAAATGTCTATCTCAGTAAAAATTGTTTGAGTTTCTTTTTCGAAAGTATATTTAGCTTCCATAGCTTTTTATTATAGTATCATGTACTCATACCTTAAATTCATCAGTAGCACCAGCCTGGAAATGTCCCTCTGTTCCACTTCCAAGTAACATTGGACCTGCCACATTATTTGACCCATATACATACAACATGACACGATTTAATGTTGACATTTCTTCTTTTCCTCCTGTTGTTACCCATATTTTCCATTCTCCTTCTAGTAATATAAAAAATGTGTTGCTGAAACCTGAGGACTGTTTAGCTTACAATTTTACAAAAGTTCAAATATTGTGAAAAATTGGTATATTTTAGTGAAAAGCAGCAATTAGATGCTCTAAACTGAAAATGACTGATAATCTTCAATTTTACCACAGCTTGCTTAACCCTTTTCCTGATGTTCTTAACCATAATCACAATCTCTCCTGTTTTCTCCGTAATAAAAGACATTAAGTGGATGGTGATAACAAAAAACTTGGCATGCACAAGTTGCACCCTTTAAAATTTAATTCTGACAAGTTTCTTTTATAAAAAAAATTTTGCCATGAAATTTTCCCTATGTGTAAATGTGGCAAAATTCCTATTTTTCACTGTGCAAACCCTGCCTCCAAAAATCAACATCATAATTAGGTACATAACTTCACAAGTTTCTATCTATACTTAAGTAAACTGTAAGACTAGAGACTTTGTATTGATAAACTTCTCATTTTTTACAAATTACAAAGTCTACATTTTGACATACAGAAAACACTTAAAATCAATCATAATCATATATGATTTGTACAACTAAACATTCTGTCAAATTTGTTCAATTTAAAAAACAAGAGGCTCTCAAGAGCCTGAATCGCTTACCTGTATTTCAGAGGAGAAGATTTTTAAATGTTAGCAAACTTGATGAACAAATTGTGTAAAATTGTCTTTAAAGGTCAATAACTCCTTAAGGGGTCAATTGACAATTATGGTCATATTAACTTTTTTGTAGATCTTACTTTGCTGAACATTATTGCTGCTTACAGTTTATATATATCTATAATAATATTCAAAATAATAACAAAAAACTGCAAAATTTTGTTAAAACTACCAATTCAGTGGCAGCAACCCAACAATGGGTTGTTCGATTCGTCTGAAAATTTCAGAGCTGATAGATCTTGACCAACTGAACAATTTTATTCCATGTCAGATTTGCTCTAAAAGCTTTAGTCTTTGAGATATAAGCCAAAAACTGCATTTGACCCCTATGTTCTATTTTTAGCCATGGCGGCCATGTTTGTCGATGGATTAAAACTTCGGATACAATTTATTAAAAACTAGATACCCTAAGGAACATTTAGTTAAAGTTTGAAGGTATTTGGCCCAGTAGTTTCAGAGGAGAAGATTTATGAAAAAGTTTACGATGACAGACAACGGACGCCAAGTGATGGCATAAGCTCACATGGGGCCCTTCGGGCCCTGGTGAGCTAAACTAGAGGCTCTAAAGAGCCTGTGTCGCTCACCTTGGTCTATGTGCATATTAAACAAAGGACACAGACGGATTCATGACAAAATTGTGTTTTGGTGATGGTGATGTGTTTGTAGATCTTACTTTACTGAACATTCTTGCTGCTTACAATTATCTCTATCTATAATGAACTTGGCCCAGTAGTTACAGTGGAGAATATTTTGTAAAAATTTACAAAAATTTACAAAATTTATGAAAATTGTAAAAAATTGACTATAAAGGGCAATAACTCCTTAAGGGGTCAATTGAAAATTTTGGTCATGTTGACTTATTTGTAGATCTTACTTTGCTGTACATTATTGCTGCTTAACAGTTTATCTCTATCTATAATAATATTCAAGATAATAACCAAAAGCTGCAAAATTTTCTTAAAATTACCAATTCAGGGGCAGCAACCCAACAACGTGTTGCCTGATTGGTCTGAAAATTTCAGGGCAGATAGATCTTGACATAATGAATAATTTTATCACCCATCAGATTTGCTCTAAATGCTTTGGTTTCAGAGATATGAGCCAAAAACGGCACTTTACTCCATGTACTATTTTTTAGCCATGTCAGCCATCTTGGTGTGCGGGCGGGGTCATCGACACATTTTTTTAACTAGATACCCTAATGATGATTGTGGACAAGTTTGGTTAAATTTGTCTTAGTAGTTTCAGAGGAGAAGATTTTTGTAAAAGATTACAAAAAATTTACGAAAAATGGTAAAAAATTGACTATAAAGGGCAATAACTCCTTAAGGGGTCAACTGACCATTTTGGCCTAGGTGACTTATTTGTAGATCATTCTTTGCTGAACATTATTGCTGTTTACAGTTTATCTCTATCTATTATAATATTCAAGATAATAACCAAAAACGGCAAAATTTCCTTAAAATTACCAGTTCAGGGGCAGCAACCCAACAACGGGTTGTCTGATTCATCTGAAAATTTCAGGGCAGACAGATCTTAACCTGATAAACAATTTTACCCCATTGTCAGATTTGCTCTAAATGCTTTGGTTTCAGAGATATAAGCCAAAATCTACATTTTACCCCTATGTTCTATTTTTAGCCATGGCAGCCATCTTGGTTGGTTGGCCGGGTCACCGAACACATTTTTTAAACTAGATACCCAAATGATGATTGTGGCCAAGTTTGGTTAAATTTGGCTGAGTAGTTTCAGAGGAGAAGATTTTTGTAAAAGTTAACGACGACGGACGACAGACGCCAAGTGATGAGAAAAGCTCACTTGGCCCTTTGGGCCAGGTGAGCTAAAAATGGAGAGGAAAATTTTTTGTCACAACCAGATTGAAAGACTTGTCAAAAATATTTCTTCCAGCATACAATGTAGGAGAGCTAGTTTAACTAAAACTGGTTATACAGAGCTATTAAGACTATAACAACTACATTAATAATTGTAGCTAAATCAATCAATGTTATTAACATGTAAAATTTCAATGAAATACCATATCTGTAAATAGGAATAATATTCATAATATCTTATCAACTTTAATTTTAATATGAAAAAAGATTCACTCTTAAATATAATATCCTTATTTAACAAAATACTAAGGGTTCCCAAAGACCTGTAATTCTAATCTGATTATTATTAATGCTCTTTCTATAGTTACTGAGATGTGATTTTAAATAAATTTACTCTACTCCCTTAATGCAACCTTCAATAGGATCTGAAAGTGGATCATCTCTGCCACAACTGGTACAATCATCATATAAATTATCTTATAAAATTTATCTAAAACTGAAACTATCAGATATGTCAATGTAGAATTTTTTTACAGTATCAGGGAAGATTCTATTATACTTTTTACTAACTGTAATAAATCACTGCCCCTTGTAGCCATATTATTCTTCACATAAAAAAAGGAATTGTATGAAGGACCTTTTGTATACTACTTCTGTCAGGATTGTTTCAGGATGACCTACAAGGTGAAAGTGTGACAGCTTTGATAAAATATACCAAAGGGCAGACAACAGATATAAACTGACATCTATGCATCATAATGAAAAAAAACACCACAAAACAAGAAACCAACATCCTAATAAGTCCCAAAACCAAATCACACAGTCAATAATTCACCTGTAGTCACAATGGTTTCTTCTTCTGCAATATTATCACACCAAATCTTACATTTTAAATAATATCATGTTTTCAGGGATTTCTAAAATGTCACAGTTAAAAAAAGTACATGTTTTTTTTTTCAAACACTTCTCACATACAAAAAATTTAAACACTTGCAAGAAAGAGACTTTATTTAAAAACAATTGTGAAAGCACCAATTTAACTTTCAAATGAAAAACTTTCTTTACTTCAACTTGCAGTAATATGTTATTTACTATAAATAATTGAAATAATCTTTTTGCACAGAATTTGTCAATATATTTTCTAAAGACTTTTTTATAGTTTCATCAAGTCTGATAGAAGCAGCTTATTTTACCTTTGGGAGGTTCCTCTTCTTCCTCTTGTATAGTGGACACCTCAGGTTCTACACTGGGATGTACCTCTCTTACTTCTGTAAAACAATTAATGACAGTATTACATGAAATTAATGTAGCCAAGAAGAAAATTCTTCAGAAATAACAAAAATAGTCTCTAACCCACTGTGATGATTGGTTATAAGTTCTTTATACATTTGATGTCAGTCTTAATACTGGAATATTCTACTGAAGAGAGAGATATTTTAAAGGATGCTACTACAAATTCTCCCATGGTTATAAGTTTTAAGGATCTAATATTTTGTTATTTTCATCATTTGACAATTTTTGTGCACAAAGGCTGTTTCCTTCTTTTTATTCAAGAGTTATCCTTCTTTAAGCTCTATGTCAGTTCATAAGTCTATAATTCATTAAGTGTAATTTTAAGAACTTTCAAATGAAATGCGAAAATTCTTCTTTTTTGTGTATTATAGAATTTTGATTGACTTTACTCTGTAATTTTAAACTGACTTTTAAGGAAATTAAAACTGCACAAAAGCAATATATCATTCATTCAGGTGAATGACCATATGCTTATCCAAATGGTTTGCCCTTTCACAATACCATTGGAAAATATTTTTACAAGTTGAAGCTTGAATTCATTTCTGCAAACTGGCCTTGCGGTCGTAATAATTTGGAGTAAAATTATCGTACTCAGAGTCAGAATTAAACCAATCAAAATACTGGATTTGGTGTTTCAACCACAACTTTTGTACTCTTGAGTATTGAGAAAAGTTTTATGAAGATAGGCCCAGGTCATAAGATGAAAATTTGTATCCATTAGTAGAGAAATAATTTTAATATAAATCAATTGCAGTGTAATGAAAATATACACCAACCAATTCAAATGATTGAATCATTATGTGCCTGATAAAAAGGTGTTTGACTTTTATAATCTTCTGATGAAGAAATCACAGGAATTGGATGGTAAAAATATTTTCATTTACACTTGCTTTTTGCTACATTGTAACGACCTTTCTCTAGCAATTGGCTAAAAAAACTCACTAGTTGATCAATTTGAACAATTTTGAATTCATACCATAATTAGAAATAAAGGTTGGTTCAATGGTACTATGAAAGATCAAAAACTCTTACATAAACACAGTCAAAGCCTTTATAATTTAAGAAAAGTTTTTTCTCTTCCAAAAGAGTTTTGAATAATAAAACAGTTAAGTTTTCACTATAAAAAGCATGTTACACCTACAAAAAGAAATGGTTGTAACTAGGTAGTTCAACTATAGTAAACTGTTCAAGTGGGAAAAACATTTCAGCTATTCAAGTTAGCATGAATTACAAAGGCACAAAATAATAAAATGTCAATATGTTTATTTAAATCTTACTGCCCTAAAACCATGCAGTGAAATTCACCCGTCCCTTTTACATGTATTAACATATCTTTAATTTATTTGACCAAATATTGTGCTCCTGTCAGTTTAAACCCACTCTTCAGTAGCCTCACTGATTACACTTTTTCATTTTGTATATTCAATGAATCAAAACATAAAATCAATTTCAAAAGAAAATTGTTTAATGAAAAGAATATTTTCAGTGAATACATTTCTTATGGAACATTTGGTCATTATAATGTCAAGGAAATTGGTAATATATACAATAACTTTCTTAAAGATTTCTTTTTAACACATTTTCCACAGAATACCACCATTATGCAATAAGGTTATTAAATACTGTTAAATATAAAGATACAGAATGGATTTGATAATATAGACTTTTAAATGCCTATTACAATAAAGCATCATTCTTGATTTATCCACTTTTTTTAATCTGACACTGACTTGGTGATTTCAAATACAAAAGTTGCCAACCATATTATCATATGCAAATATTAAGTATTAATCTCACACAAGTTCAAACACACTATATTTTACCATATTTTCCTCATATACATGTATAAATACAATATTATTAAAAGGTGTCAGTCACTAAAATAATACCTTTCTGATCATAAATTATAAACATTTATTTTACACAATCGAATGAAATTACAAACATATCTGCTTAATCAATCAGTAAATATATATATTCCATTAATTTCCACCAATCAAATCATAGTTTTACTTTTAAAACCCCACCCCTTTAGACCCTCAAAATTCCATCATCATTTCATCCAACAAATTTAATTAGAATTTATATAATTGATTTTTTTTATAGTATAAATTTTTATTTGAGTCAAACTTGAGTTTGATTTCATGCAATGTAACTATAGGATCAGCAGGAAATAGATCGATTTTTCTGTTTTTATTTTCATTCTTGTTACAGGAATACTCTCACTTTGAAATTTGAATCAATATGTTTAATTTCTGTTTGAATTTTTATTTACAAAACACTATGGATTATGACCTCGTTGAATGGAAAATGACATTAATGGGTTATTACAAGCAATAATAGGACTTGAAAGTGTAATTTGAGACTTTGTTTACAAATGGAAATATGTAATGTTGACACTGCTGATATAGGTTATAAATGGATTACACCAACTGCTTGATCAAACACTTTTAGAAGATTAAAGGCCATTCTGACAAAACAAATTCACCTTTTGACAAAAGATGAAATCAATCTTTAATCGTTGCTATTTAAGGTACAATATTAGGTATTATAAGGTACAATATGACCAATGGAGCATTGATAAGTAAACCTAATTCTTTACTTGTACTCAATCTGCACTTTTTAAATAATCTCATTTAACAAACAAAACCCTATATCTAATTTCATAAATGACACTGGTACCTCCACAAATTGTTTTTTCCATAGTTATGATTTCTTAATGTTAGTAAAACTGTGGCACAGTTAAGACAAATTAATAGCATTTCCACAGCCCTTCAAATTAAATTTCATCATTTCCTAGGTAATTTTTTATTACTATGGGAAATTAAAAAGGCTACTGGTGCTTTTTCAGAAAGAACTGTTGAAGAAATATAAACTTATATCTGTAAGTCCAAGCATGCATTCTGACTTTAGTTCAAATGAAATCATTTCATACATGACTTTGTTAGCAAACACTCTTCAGGATTAAATTCAAACAGGGTTAACATTTGTAACATGGAGGACTCACCCTTGACAAATCTTGCACATGGGGCAGGTTCTAACAATAAATTAAACAAAGATTAGAACAGAAAATGAGTTTTATACCTTTATTTCCATTCTATCTACAGTACATACATATTACATATACTTCTCTCATATACTAATAATAGTTTAATTAAAATTAGCACTATCCTTAATGGCAAAATATACGTAATTTGGCTGTATATCAGATTTTTGTGACATTTTGTATGCAATAAGAATTTGAAAAAAATAATGCTATGTGTAGAAATTATACTTCCTAAGAAACAATAAATTAAAAAAAAATTGTGAAAGAGAGGTATCATTATATAGAATCCACATAAAAATCTGAAATACTGCTCGATTTCATATACTTAGCCATAATGTATTGAACTTATTAGATTAAAACAAACTATTTATTTTAATCAAAGTACTGGTATTATTCAGTTCTCTGATTAAATTAGGAACAGAATAGATTACAATAATGAGAAAAAGGAAAATTCTTTTCATCAAACATCTCAAAATTTCAATTTGGAATTTTGTTAGAACTTTGCTACATCTTAAATTTGTCAAATACAAATTTCTATCTCTGTACAATATGCATACTAGTATTTCGCGAATTTGAATCTGTTGAACTGAAAAAATAGGTCTCACCATTATTTCACTGGTAATTTCTTAAGATCTGACCATATTGAAAATTAGAGAAGTAGTCTATAAATAGAGTCAAGATATCCAAGAGGAATATAAGTACAGATATTACAAAATAAAATAATTTAGGAATTCACTTTATCCCATAAGTGCATGTATTTGGTTGGCAAATGTGAAATTAACAGTTTTATGGGACGAATGAAATTACAATTCAAGTATGAGAATCTACTAACAAACAGTGTTGTACAATTTTAACATAACATATGACCGATTACCCCTATATTATCTGCTAAATTGAAATAAAGAAAAATTATGAAGCACTTGTGAAACAAACTACAGAATGATGTTGTCTGAGGTGTTCCAAGGTCTAAGTGCAGGCAGCCAGGAAAATTAAGATAATAAGTATGTTGTAAAAAATACAATAGTCAGACTAAAATCAGATGTGTCTTTACAATATAAAAGTCTCTGCCAACATATTTTTTTTTAACAAAGGGCCATAATTTCTTATATGAAGGTCAAGGACATATAAGGAAATGAACTCAATTTGAAAATGTAAATTAGAATCTTGTAAGTAATTAATATTGACAGAACAGCATACCCAAAACATTATGTCAATATCTACAAATATGATAAGGCAAAGTGTAAACAAGTACAGTTTTCAAGGTCCAATGGTATTAATTAGATCAATTGGAAGTAAATGTAGTTAGACCAACAGTAGGTCAATTGGAAGGAAATGTATTTAGACCAAAAGTAGGTCAATTGGAAGGAAATGTATTTATTCCAAAAGTAGGTCAATTGGGAGGAAATGTAGTTAAGTCAAAAGTAGGTTAATTTTAAGGAAATGCAATTTGAATCTTCAAGCAACAAAAAATGCATGCAACAAATGTTTAAATTAGGTTGACATGACCTTCTTAAGTTAATTTGTTTGCAAGCAACAGAATAGGCATGCAGCTGAGTATTTTAAAAATAAAATAATGACAAATAGATAGCCTTCTTAGGTTTGTTGGATGAATATGAAAATGTCTATGCATGTTTAACATCATAAGACAATATAATGATGATCAAATGTAACCAAAAACTATCGAAGTGGAAAATGAAAACTCTTGTGCTGATATTTTGACCAAGCACATGTTTTAAAAAGTTCAAATAATCTCAAAATATACCTGACATACGGATGCATACAAGTAACTTCAACAAAGTCAGTATTGAAATAGGTCTGAGTCCTAAGTTTCTCTTAATAAGTTATGCATATTTAAATGCAAGTTAGTACACCAGTTATTCAACTTTAAAAAAATACATTTGATTGGCAATTGCTCAATTCTGCATGATGTACAATCTAGAGTGACAAAACCACTAAACTAAGTCTTTGATCAAGTTTAAATGTAAGAATCCTGACATACAGATTTATCTCCTTTCACTGAAATTTTTCTCTGGAACAAAACAAATTTATCTTTGGCAGTCATACATGTTCTAACAATCTAATGTGTCTGGTTTTTGTAACAATCTAATGTGTCTGGTTTTTGTAACAATCTAATGTGTCTGGTTTTTGTAACAATCTAATGTGTCTGGTTTTTGTAACAATCTAATGTATCTGGTTTTTGTAACAATCTAATGTTCCTGGGTTAGGCATAGCACAGCAAAACATGCAAATAAAATATTGTTTCTGTTGAGTGTATAATGGTACACTGAAACTTTGTTGAACAAGACAATGTCTTGTAAAAGATAATAAAAAGATAATATAACAAACATGTTTATTATGGCACAATTGTGGCAGAATCTAAATATCCTTTTGGATAAGTACACATATGAAAGAAAAAAATGTTTTCAAAGAGAGGCTATTGTATACACGTTTATGACATTTTATGTTCAGAAAACAAAGCCACTATGGTTTTAATCATATTACTTATATATTAAATTCATGTAAAATATATTATATTAAAAGCCAATATTGTTCCATTTTATGGAGTTTACAAGTTTTAATCATTCAAAAGGCATCTGAATTCTATAAATTATAAAATAAAACTTAAGGGTATAAAGAGCCCGTTCAACTCACCTGGTAGCTATGGCAAATGTCTAGAATGGTGAATTTTCAATGCCAAAAAGCTTACTTAGCACCAATAAGTTATGTGATAACTGGGTCTTCACAGGATATTCAAAAAGTTTCTGCTAAATTTTTTTATTTAATTTCAAAATGTTCTATTATTACCAAGAATGCTTATGATTGCATTGAGATGGGGAATTTCAATTAAGGACTTTCCATACATAATTGCCATAAAAGTTTGTTCAGCGTGGCCAACTTACAGAGAAAAACAGATGATAGTCATTCCACTGTGGTAGCATTGCTGCTATGCATTTGAAAATTGACCAGTCACAATCAAGAATTGACTCTGTCATGTTTTTGTCCAGGAAATTTTGATAAATTATTCCTGCCTAAATAGCTTCAGACTATCATGATACAAAAAGTAGTGTCATAGAAGGTGAATATTTGTCTTCACTTGGGTTCAATGGGAATCTGTGTTAATGATGGTTAAAGGATGAACAATGCCAAGTGATGACAATAGCTTAACCTAGCTAAAATGGATAGAATAATTCTCAAAATCTTTATGTTAATTGTGGTCATTTTTTAATGAGTTTTACACAATTAATTCAAAATTTACCCTTTACACTGTAGCAATACTTAACCCAACATTCACACATAACAAACAAACAATGGCAAGACTGGATGTAAAAATTGAACAATACGAATTTGCACATAACAAATAATCTATCCCCAAATGAAATATTTTCCTTTATATTAATTGAATTTTTTTTTTACAATACTGTAAGCCATATGAAAGTTGATATTTTAACAAACAGTCTCTAAATTCAACTGCGTTTCCAAACAAAAGTTTGCTAATTTGAGTAAAAATATATAATGTTCATTTGTAATCCAAGATGGCAGAATACTCCAAAACTACTTGTGACAAGGAAAATATGTTATTCAAAACTAAATGAAAGTGTGGATTAGTATTAAATCATAACAAAGTCAGTTTTTCTATCTTAACTTGAAATTCAACTTTATTTTGCCTAATGCTAACATTTTACCAACTCCAAATTTTGTAGTAGAGAAATTCACTATGTAGCTTTTATTTTTGTGATTCACCGCTTACCATATACAATACAACCAACATCATATTTTCAAGCTAAATAAATTAGTATCACAATTTTTGACAACATTGCACAAACTGTTGGAAGCATTAGATTCTTTCTAACATGAGCACACATAACAATGAAATAAAATTGAAATGACAGACTCATCTTTCTGAACACCTTTGTTTATTGTGGAATGTACCAAATCTAAATGTTCTCAGTAGAAATAAAAAACAAATCAAACACACATACAAATATATTGGGTCATTGAAACACAACACATGCATTTAGTGAAACACAAAACAAGCAACATGGAGTAACATGAGCATAATCTCAGGAAGACAAGTCAAGGAGAATAACTCTCATCACCTACCCTTCACATAAAGCACTCTTTCTATTTTTCTGTCCTCTTCTCCTGTATCCAACCACCTGGAAAATAAAATCATAAGATTATGGAAAGATTTAAACTGAAAGAGATGAAATATGCAAAGATGCTTTCCTGACTAGGTTATACAAAACTTTTAATACTTAAATACTCCAAAAATGAAAGGACATTCTTAAAATAACTGTTCATTTGCTTGGGAGTTAGTATGAATACTTGCTATGAGAAACCCATAAACCCATTTATCGTCCTTCCCTTTGCCTACATCACCCTGCTCAGTTGCTCCTTTAATCTCATATCACGGCTTTGAGGCATGAGCAGACATTATCAGCGACGTCACAATGTGGCCTGAGAAGTAATCAGCTACGTCACAATATTTGAGGAAATATCATCAAGCTTTCGTTTCATCAAGCGCTCACTTACCAAAAAGGTTCATTGTTGCTCGTAGCTGATAATTTACGATATTAATGTGTAGAGAACCTGATAATCAATACTTAGATACTTTGTGAGGCAAAAAATAAATAATTTTGTATTAATCTATATTTTGTCATTGACTTTAAATCTTTGAGATAGGTTACAATGAGAAGTAATGACTTACTTTTCACATGGGAAGATATATTCCTCTTTGGCATCTTCAAATTCCCTGATAACAACTTCATCTAAATACCATCCCTGTCCAGCCATTGTTCCATCATGTCCAATGGTCAGTTTCTGTAGTACACCTAGTGATACTGCTTCAACATGGAATATGTCAGTCTAAAATAAATACTAAATTGTTCACCGAGATATCATCCCTCAGGAAGTGCTTTCAATGAAGTTAAAAGATCTTTGTCATTATTATTCATCTTAACATAAGGAACAAACATGTAAATATTTGTGAATATGTCGAAGTTGTCGAATCTTCTGTTTTAAATTGGTTCATAGTACTGCAGTTATACAATTGAGACATTCAAAGTTTACAATACAAAAACAATAAACTGTTGACACATAGATGTGTCTCTCCTGTATGTAATTTTGATATCAAAATGTAAATTTTGATATCAAAATGTAAATTTTTAAATTAAAATAGCAATACTTTAACGTGTAAAATATGCAAAATACTCAAGTTAATGAATCAAACAGAGGGAAAGGGTCAAATAATTTCCAGGGAATAAGATATGCCAATATTAATTCAACTGCATATCAAATATTGATTTACCATTAGTGATTCCCCTTAAACTGACCTAATCACAAACTTTAACAAATTGTTGACCGGCCGCATCAGCCAAAGACACCAGAAACAACACGAATAAGTCTTGTTTTTTGCCTCTTTCGAGACAACACATAAACCAAAATACATAACAATGTAACATACCTGTCCCACCTTGAACTTTGATACATTATTGGATTGTAAGAGCATACGTTTTCCTGTATCTCCTTTCTCACCAGCAATGTTGATATATACATTGGACTCTGTTTCTGATCCTGATTCTTTTCCTGTTGTCACAATCACATGATATCTCACCACTAAAATATCATAACAAATGTCATCACTAAGAACAGAATAAATATATGAAACATACTTCAACTGATTGATAGATCTGAAAGACAGAAATTGTACTGTCGAAATAAGAATTGAGAAAACTGTTGTTCACAATATCATTAATATACAAGTTGACTGTAGTGGCAAAATGTATTTGAAATACCGTATAGCGGGTTATTTTCGCGGGTGTAAAATTGTGTAAAAAAGTGTACGCAAAAATTTTGGCGGTTTTTATTTTGGTGGATTTTTTAATCCCACTTAAATATTTTGGTGGATACTGAAATTGTTGCAGTTCAAAAGTTGTAAAACTTCTCAAACAAGTGTCTATTGTTATGGTTAATTGAATTTTTTTACCGGAATGACCTCTTATTTATTGATTAGATTCTGATATTTGTTACAGGTATTCAGACGTCTTGTAAATTTTACAAAGATTAGTTACGAAATTGACCGGACCTTTGATGTACTTACTAATTAGGTTACAAAATTATCATGAGTGTTTACAATCTTATATAGTTTGACACTAATTAATAAGGGAATTAATTACCTGATAAGAGTACCGTACACTCTTATTCTAATTGACACTTATTAATAAGGGTATACACACCTGACAGTCATTTTATAAAAAAACATTTATGTACAATGCCCTTTGGCATTTATCTTGTTAAAACTAACATATACCTTCCGACAGGAAAAAATAGATCGTTTACAAAATCCTTTAACCATTTTAACTTGGAAACTACCCAACGTATGCATAAATTTTCGCGGAATTTATTTTCAAGATTTTCGTGTATCCGCCAAAATAAGCGAAAATAAACACCCCGCGAAAATAACCCGCTATACGGTATATCTTTGTCTCAGGATTTTTTTTCAACACATAGAATCAACTAAGATGTCTTCTAGTAGAAAACATCGATTTGTTTTAATTAGCCATTATTGACATTTATGCATTAGAACCCACATGAGAAAATATCTGATTAAAAGACGTATTTTACAACACTTTCTTAAAAAATTTGAATAGTAGCATCAAGTAATAATGTCATATATAATTCTATTACAATATCTTACATGGCAAAACTGGTTCCCCATTTTTCCTGACTGGTTGTTCCCTCATAGTTTCCCTATCTTCCTGTACTTTCGACAACCATTTACTGAATGGGAACACAAGTGTTTCGTTGGTGTTGAGATCTATCATTTTGACATCTTTGACTTTCCATGACGGATCAGCTGAACTTCTTGGTATCAGTTCAAGTCTTATCTTGTAAATATTTCCAACTTTTGATAAATTGGCCTAAAAACAGATAATAAAAATTAACAGATCAGTTTAATACATATCTGTTCAGTAATTGACCATGTGATGGCTAAAAACAATGGGATATAAAAATAAAATGTATCCCTTATTTTCAGTTAAATTTGGAATGCCAAACAAGAGAAAAATATTTAGCAAATTATAATAGAAAATTATTTTTGCTTGTGGCTTGTAAAAATATATTGATGTCAAACATTCATGACATTCTCTAACATTTTCATGAAGTTAAAACACGTTGTCAGAGATTTTCTGCAAATACAACCTTGATTTTAAGGGTAACACTGCCAAAAGTATAAAAAAAAATGTAAGTAATAAAGGCACAGAACATGATTTTAAGGGTATATTCACATTTCAATGTTATGAATGAAAATTGTCCTCTTCAAATGAACTAGTCTATATAAAGTAATAATGAAATACAATATACCATCAAAAATAGTTTCCTGAAAAGGAAACACAATAAAGATCATAAAAAATCAGAGATAATTTGAAATATATTTGATTATAGGGCCAATTTTACCATGATATTGCACCATATCCTTTATTCATAATAAATTAATTTAAAACTTCAAGAATGGCTTACCCTAAACTCATCATTATTTCCTGCTGTAAATATTTTCTTGCCTGGTGGTGCTCCCAGTAAGATAGATCCTGATGTACCTAAATCTCCATAAACCACCAAGGCAACATCAGCATTCTCATCCAGAGATTCCAGTGTTGACACTTGTATACTCCAATCACCATCTATAATCATAAGTTGTTACTTATCATTATATATACTATATTTCATTTGCATACTCAAATTACCATCTGTAATCATAAGTTGTTACTTATCATAACATATACTACAATATTATACTCAAATTACCATCTGTAATCAAAATTTGCTACATAGGATATCACAAACTATAACATTTCATTTTACCAAAATTAATACAACTTAAATAGTAGAAAATATGTTCTGCTTATTTTTTTGTGTAAAATAAGGGTCTTTCAGGTACCTTACAAATCTAATTGCTCATTGTTCAATTTTCTTTTAAACATAAGTTATAAAGTTAAACTGAATAAGAGAGCATCATCAGAAAATCTCATGAATTAAATGCATATCAAAAACTGTAATTGTTTTTTCTTTCACAATCAAGCCATAATGATAACAAGAGATCATATAATGCTCAATATCCTAAGGACTGGAAATCTTGGATACCAAAAAATCTGAGCAATAGACCAGTCAAATAAATTTGTATTACAATTTCTAGGTCTATTACTTATAGAATAACTAATCGAAGAATTCAAATAGAGAAAAATATTCAACGAGTGACTGAACAACACATTAATTCAAGAATGCGCGTAGCGCATGAGTTAATTATCAGTGTTGTTCGGTCACGCCTTGAATATTTTTCGAAATTTGAATTCTTTGATTAGTCATTCTTTTTATTACATTGGCAAATGGTCTTTTTTCTGAAATTAAACTAGAATATGCAAGGAACATTATCTTTTTCTAAGCATTCACAATTTGTTTTGATCCGACTTCATGACAACGCCTATTGTTGTATGACGTCAGAGGAGTGAAATAACCACGTTTATTTCACATGTGAAATTAGCGGTTTTTATTTCACTGGGAAATCAATGTAATTCATTGCAACCGATGTAATAATTATTAACAAAAATACATAAGAGACAAATATTATATGTATTGTATGTGTGACCTTATCATAAAATAGTTATTGTTGATGCCACTGATACAAGAATTGGGACACATTAGTCTCTCCTCCATGCTTTTCATTACAAGTGAGACAAAAGAAAATTAATCAAACAGAAGTTATAAAAATAAAGTAATTAATTCTAAGACATTCATTATTTTCAAAATTAATCTACTGTTAAACAGTCTGAAGTGAAAATCAACAAATTAATTATTAATATTTTAAAATCACAGATGTTAAAGTGATCAAACTATTTATAAGATGCAAAAATGTGTGTGTTTTTCAAATAATACATGCTATCCAAACATGCATGCATTCCACTCAGCATGCAAAACAATCAATAAGATTAACATATGTATATTACACAAACAAAAGCATATGTATGATTATATGTTAGGAACCTGATGTTAACATCTAAACAACACATACAACAGAAGAAATTATGGAAAATAGTTTTCAGTAGAATTCCTGTAACAGAGATCATGGTCACAACTTGTATGCAGTATTATTTACTAAGCAATCTTCCTTGAGGCTTACTTTACATAATCTGATGCTATCTTACCAGTGGTAACCACGTTGCATTTTGTTATTTGTAAATTCTCATTCTATGTCACTGTGAAAATAATTGAATTCTGTGTTATAGTTAGAGGAAAAGTCATTGGTTTCTGGCTTTTATAATAACAGAACCATCTGAAAGCTTATGTTCAATTTAATATTAAACAAGATTGCACATGCTGTCTTGCTTAGTATACTCGAACTCCTACTTAAAAGTATCTGAAAACAGGAAGAGGGCGCCTGAAAGATACGAAAAGCACCCACACATAACAACTAATCAGTATTGAGCTGCTGACCAAGAATGAAGTTGTTCTCTTCAAAACTACTCAAGAAACTTGCGATAAAAAATTTCAAGTCCATTCAAAACATTGAAAAGTTCTGAGTATCAGCAAACAGGAAGAAGGTGTCTAATAGATCCAAAAAGTGCTCAAACTTTAAACTTATTACTGTTAAGCTGTTGACCAAATATGAATTCATTCTGTTAAGCAGCACCTGAGAAAGTGATGCAGAAATATTTTTTTGACGAATTCAAGGACTAGGTGAATGCAATACAGCCTTCACTTAAAGAGTGGTGGTATAATAATAATTCTGTGGTTTACATTAACTACACAATCAACAAAACAAAAATGCCTTATGAAAAAGTATTTGCAAAGTATGGAGAAAGTTTCTTATAATTTTCTATAAAAACTTTTCAAGCCGAATATAATTTCATAGCTATGAGTAATCAAGTGTCAGCATACTAATTGAATTCCCTTATCAGTCAATATACAATCAGTTTTTGAGTAAACAATGAGGAGACTTTATAAGAGCAAACATGATAACCACACAAATGTGAGTAATTTGTGAGACAGGACTTAGTAACAAGGTCATATGTACAAACATGCTGAGAGGTTCAAACGGGGGAAATTGTAAATTGTATACCCAGATTACTGAAAACAGAAAGTTAAAATGTTATTATCAATTATGGCACTCCAAGACACTACAAAATTAGCAAAACAAAGCTTATTTTATACAAATCAAAACATAATGTTGTACATCCAAAATTACTTTAGTTTCAACTTCATTTTCAAAGTCTGATTAGGCACATTAAAATTGTCTATCAATTTCCTGGTTATGTGTTATGCAATTCAATTTGTTATTGATATCAAGGATTTATATAGTAATTAATATATATCTATAAATCCTTGATATTATATCAGCTACCAATTAAAAACTTTGGTGATATTGAAAATATATTTTTTTGCTGATAATTAAAATCTAAATTTTAATATATTTAATCATTCTTGAAGAAACCGTTGGAATTTATTCCAATAAAATTGTTTTAATGATTCAGCAATTGTTAGTTTCTTACTGCAACCCGGATTTCCAAAAGGATCCTATTTTGTAGATTAATTCAACATGTTTGAAACAGAAACTGAAGTATTTGTGGAAGTACAACAATTGTTACATAACTCAAGTTTCAGCAATGTTGAATATTTTTTCAACATTCTTTCTATCAATTCTTTGTTGGGTAAGTGCTAGAGTAAATTCAAAATCAAACAAGCATATGAATTGGGATAATTTCCCTTGGATATAAAAATACCAAACTTTTATAAGATAACCTATTGGCAAAAAAAATATTTATCTTTTGATTAAGGTTGGAATGCTAAGTAAAGCGACAATATTTGATCTTAAAAAGACCATTTAATTGAAATAAATTCTTCACAGAAAAGACTGCTAAGAAAATTTGACAGTATTTCTTTCAGAGGAGTCGATACAAGTTACATTGTATTGTCATTTAATGGAATGTTTCATATGTTGTAGATCTAGATGAAACCTCTGAAAAATCACAGTAAATTAAGACTACCTTACTAGTTTTTAAGAAAAAACCAGATCAGAAATTATAATTTTTATATATTCTTAAAAGAAAAAACTTTAAAAATGTGCACTAAATTTCTTTACTATTAAGCACCTCATATTTTGCTGGTGAATTGTTTTACAACATTCAACAATGTCTCCCACTAAAAAAGCATTTTAATGACAACAGCAAAATCAATACCATATATTTCTCTCCTTATTCATTTGAAGAAAACAAGATTCTATTGTAACTTATATAATTGGTCATTTTGCACTATATCCCATTTCCAAATTTTACCATGAGAAGGTTCCTTTTAAACTTCATCATAAAAAAAAGCAGGAAAAGACTTAATTTTGAGCTTTTGTCTTCCTAAAAGCAGATGTTTCCCTGAAACTGTAATGACCCCACTTAATAGCCATCTCAATATGTTGTGAATTTCTAGCACTAACACACTTTAAAGAAATTTGGATATGAGCTGCAACAAGCTATTCACTTGAGTTAGGTATAGTATGAATTAGATTAGAAATAAAACAACAACGATCCTAAACTCACCTCCAAACAATGACGTGTCCATATCATCAGTCACATATACTATATATAAAACCATCAAATGTTAATACATGAGTACCCAAAACTATCTATCCATATTTCATATTAAAATGTTAATAACATTTCACTGTTTTATGGCTGAATGGTGTATGCCAGTTTCCTTTTTAAAACTTTATATCAAGATTTATAAAAAAAAAGTTTGGGTACTCAAAAACTGGTACTCCAAACAACTAACCTATTCATGTATAACTATGCACCATTTGCCCCTAATGTTAAAAAGCTCACCTCATTAAAAAGGTTTACAAACACAATATTCAAAACAAACACATAACAAAAAGTGAGACTCTCATCTTACTTCTCCACTTGTCAGTCCTTATCAGTGATTACAAATATACATTACAGAACCATTTCCAATCATACATGTGCAGAGTTCTACCATATATCCCATACATCATAATAATATTTACAAACCTGCAAAATCTTTCTTGATCGGTTCTGGTTTAGTTTTAACTGGTGTTTCTTCTCTTCCCATTTCTTCTTCTTCTATAAGCTCTGTACTCTTACTCTTAGGGACACCAACTGAAGATAAATGAATCTTACTGAAGTCAGCATTCATAGGAACAAAAGAAGATGAGTCAATGAGACAGCAAGCCAAAGACAAAAATATTCACAAGGCCATTATTAATCTTACTGATGTCAAAGTCTTCTAAACAGCAGTCTGAATTAGTCTGACATAAAACAGATATCAGCAGTCTGAATTCCTCTGTCAGACATAAAACTGGAATCAGCAGTCTGAATAAGTCTGACATAAAACTGATATCAAAAGTCAAAATAGGTCGGACATAAAACTCAATATCTTTTTACTACTGTTTTACAAGTTAAAATGTTTATTGTTATCTAAAATGTATGTAGTGTTTATAAATGGCTTTATAACAAGAGAAATATTGCTCAATATAGATATCCCTGCTATAAGTATGTGTGTGTAAACAGAAAGTTGGTGAGCGATGGATGTGGACATGCATCAAACTGTATAGTATGCACACATGAGGCTTGATACCAATTTCGGAAACTCTGATTTGTAGTTGCTGAGAAAAATGCAACAAAATTTTCATGGGAAGATCTGATGGATGTACAGATTTAAAGCAGTCAACCCCCCTCCTTTGGATCATGGGCATGAATACTGGTCGATGAAGCTGCCATATTTGTGGTTTGAATGATATATACAGGCATGTAGTTTGGCCAAAATGCTTGTTTATTTAAAATAGCTAATAAAGAATTCATGCTTCCCCATGCTAGTAAGACTAAGTTATTTTTTTCATTTTTTTTCTCTGAGTGTGGGTGTATGTATGTGTGTTTAACTTTGTAATTTATCAGGTTCTTCTTTCAATATGGTCTATACTCATACATTCTTAAAAAAAATATGAGCATAACAAGATGCTTTCTAGGATTTTTTTTGTAAGTTAACTTACATTCAATAACTTCAGGAAACAAACTGGTATTTCTTACTCCAGTATCAACTGTAGGCCACACCCTACCATCTGGCTTCATCCCTAGATACAAGCCTCTCTGTGAAGCAGATTGTAAACTGATGCTGCCTTCTTCTGGATGTTTTTCTACTATGAAATGTGATGCTTCATCTCTGCTACCCTATAAAAAAAGAAAAACATTTATTCATAAAGCTATTCTAAATATTAACAGATCTTTTTACTCATTTTTCTTCAGCTATTGTAAAGTGTTATTATATTCCACAGTTGCCAGTTTGGCTAATTTAGAACATCATGACAAATAAAGTATTAATTACATTTTTATTATAGCAATTAAAAAGGGTGAAATAGGTTTAACTGATTGTGAACAAGAAATTTCAGGACTTGTGTTTTTTTTTTTTTTACTTTTGACCAAAGATTGAACCTAATGTAAATAAATGTGAGTTACAAAGAGGAAAAAACATTAATTAATTCTACTCTCGATTTCAATTTTATAGTCTTTGGTTTGACCCTGTCTTGGATTGATCCATCGACCTCACACACTCAAAACAAGCAAGGTACTGACAGTTTGCGTCATGGAAACAGCTGCCAAACAATTCAAATATAATACACCAATGGCCTGCAGTTTTCAATTTGACAGACAAACTCTCTTATCATTCTAAAATGAGATCTGTATGAATGTCATGAGATAAAATTCTATCTAAATAAAAACTAACTTACCAAACAATCAATCTTTCCATCTTTCAGTCTAATATATTTGCCAGGATGTGCTATACTTTCAAACATCCTAACTCCACCAGTATCTACCTTGTGTACCATGAAATGAGCACCTTTATTTCTCTTGCCTGTGCCAGTCATAGTGAAGTCGGAGTTGATGTTTATACATTGAGAAGATGATGTATTTAGCATAACAGTACCTCTATGTCTAAATATACCCTGTAAATAGTTAAATAACTCTTTTAAAGTAAATTCATTTACAGGTTTCAGTTTGGGGTGTTCGGCGTTTGTATCAAAGATTTGAATATAGTATCTTTCAAAATCATGTAAATGACATTATTTTTTAAAATATCATTATTTTATATCTATTTTGTTTTGTAAAATAATATGGTAAATAATCCTGAATTCTGTTGATGAATTGATGGAAAATATTCAATGTCCTTCATCAGTTGATATGCTGAAGGTAAGTTGATTGTTTACAAAATTTACTATGCAGATCTAAAAACGTACCTTACAGTAGACAAAGAACCTTCTTGATGGCTCTTTATCAAGGATAGCTCTCACATCCAGTGGATGTCCATCCTCTCCTATTGTAACAAACTGTAATGGATTCTTCACCGACTCCAGAATCACAGATCCATCACCCTGAACCCGTATTCTAAATTCACAAAATGGACCTCCTTTACCCTGTAAATATTACAGAAATTACATTATTACTACAAATATGCTGCTCAATTTCAAATCTTATTGCTGATGCAATTATCTGTAAAGACTTAACTTCTTTGAAATGTCTCAAAATCGTAAAACAGTTTTTAATTTTGTAATATTACGATCTACTTTAACTCTCTTTATACCCCTTGCACTGTTTCAAATTGGCAAAATTGATGGTTTCCAGATGATAACATCAATTTGCTATGAGTTTTGATATGAAAAGTTTTAATTTTTTTCTATTTTTTGTGAATTGTCGTGATGGGACCTTCTGTTAGCTGTAACAACTTTTTTCGCTTATGTAATGAAGTATTAAAACCACAAATGTGATTTTGCAGCATTCAACAGAATCATACAAAATTATCACATAATAATAAATAAAATATTATTTACCAGCATTGTAATTTTCCCACTATCAATGGCAAGAAAATTATTAGGATTACGAACACTGTTAAACATCCTGATCATTGCCTTCTTTAGAGAAACATTAAATATACCTGAAAATAAAGGGAAAAAAACATTTATTTCTATGTAAAACTTTTTAAATAAACAATTAACATATGTTATTTGTTTTAAAGTATGCATTCTGTAAAAAATGTTTACATACACAGAAATACTGAATTTTCTGATTTTTTACCATACTAACTATATCTGAACATTGATCTGGATTGACATTTTACAAAAAATTGCATTAATTGATTTTAACTTAATAATATAACATTTACAGCTGCACATTTTACTTATTAATTTAATTAATAATCTTATTAATCTGACAGAAAAATAAATATATCTATCTGACTACATTAAAAAATATTCAACCAACAAAAATAAAAACATTTTACTTTCAGGGTCCATCTGAATACCAAGTCCATCAACACTCATGTCCTTTTTAGCTCTTAATGCTTTACCAGAAGCAAGAGAATAAAACTTCACTCGACAGTCCTTCTCAAACTTCCATCTTTCTTGTTCCCACTGAAACAGAACATTCAGTTTTAAAACTATCTTTAGTTTACATGTTATGACATTCAATATTTGAAAAATTTCCAATTAGCCCCTTATTCAAACATCTTCCTAAATGGACTACCCCTTCCAAACTTCTATTTTCATCCCATCAAAATTTTCTGATAAGTAACCTTCTCTTTATCAATGAACTCCTCAAAATGCTTTCTCAATTCTTCAAAAAATATCAACAGCTTAAAATGCAATCAATTAAAATTATTCATTGTCTTTTATAACAAAAAATCTTGTATATATATTTCTTTAAATTAATTGCAAGTTTTTAGCTATACAGTCTTAAATCTTACATTTCTCTTTTCTAGAATGTCATCCATGTATTCTTCTTGTATTTTTAATTCTCTGACAATCTTGCCATCATCTTCTCCTTCATCTAACCATCTATTGTAACAAAATTTAACATTTATAAAACTTCAAAATACATGTGTGAATATACAAAAATGTCTACCAGCTAAATGTCTCCATATCTCAATATGTTTTAAAGTGAAAAACCAAGTAACACAGGTTAAAAAAACCTACAACTTATTTCACAAAAAAATATTACGAGAAAAAAATACTCATAACTTGTCAATATTTTAGTTTAACTTACGCTAATTTTTTATTGTAAATTTTTTTCATGAAAAGCCACTGAACACTAGTCAAAGAATATTAACCTTTTTTGACTAAGAACTAATCCTTTCTACTGAAGCATTAAAATGAGGGAAGGTCATGTGACAAATGTCGGACAGCATATACTATCTCTTAAGCAAGTATTAAGGAACAGATCTAAACTCAAATTTAATACTGAAAAGTTTAGATATCCTTTAGTTTTTTGTGTTATACAGTTACCTTTACCTCACATCTACTTTTATCCTGTGGACAGACAATATGACTAACAACCATTTTATACATCAAATATCATTGACTTATCATGATTTACAACTTAAACTGTTTCAAACTACATCCATACTACCAAATTAACCAAAGCTGCACAAGAATGTGTTTTAGAGTAAAACAATGAAGTCAAGTGAAGACTACAGTCAAGAGAAGGAAACTGAAATAATTCAAAGGTATAATAACCTAAGTGACAAATTATCACTTTCTATTATTAGACACACATTACATTTGAAAAAAAGAATTTGTCTGGTTTACAGAATAAAATGTTGCTTTACTTACTTTCCACAGTAGAAATTGTTTTCTTCGTGTTGTCTCGTTGATTCTTTGATTGATATTTTCTCTAAATACCATCCATTACCTAAATCAAACATTATATCATTGTCAATATAAACAACTTTTCATCAATAATTAGTGTTAAAGTTCAGGAGAATGTTCACATGATAGCTACTTTATACATTGCCTGTATTAAATTATACTACTTTAAAAACTTTGAGCTGATTTACCCAAACAGCTGATACAATTAAGAATTTTTTGTGAAAACATAACAATAATAATTGCATGCTCATTGCTTAAAAGCACATAAAATTATTATGCAGGTAAGGTAAACAAATTGCCAACTAATCTTGCTTACCATTGCCTGTTCCATCATGTCCAACAATGATTCTCTTAAGATGTCCTAGAGAAACAGCTTCCACAGTAAACTTGTTTGTCTGAAAATAATTTAAAATACATGTTATCATGCTTCACACAAAATACATCAATTATACTAAATTCAAAGAATACACATATACTGTTTTATCTAAGATTTCTATGAGTAAACAAAGCAATTAATCTACACTACATGTCTACAAAGTTACATGTAAAAATCATGCGATCAATAGTGTTCAAAATTCAAACGGCCTTTGTTTTTTTTTTTTAATTTTGCAGTTATATCTACTTCTTTTTTTCGGAAGGGGGCAGGGGGATGTTAATTCTTAAAATTAAATTATATGGAAATATATCAACTTGTAACCTGCTTTTGCACAATTTTTTAAAAACTCTTAGTGAAAACAAAATTAACTGATGCATATGATCTCATAATTATATTCTTGACAAACAAAAACAATCCCTACAAGAAATACTTACTTTTCCCTTTTTAAATAAGTCTACTTTGTCTTTGGAATAGAGTTGTCTTACTCCTGTGTCTCCTCTATCACCATATATGGTAATGTAAACATTTGCATCTGTGCCAGCATTCCATAAATCACCAGTTACACATGTAACTTCATACCTTATAGCTAAAAAATAATATTAAAATTATGATTTTTAATTTTCATATCATCAAATTTAAACTATAAGGTGTGATGGACTTTAATATTTAGTTATTACTGATTTTAAAGATAAAAAAAGCTGCAAATGGCAAATTTTTTATTTTTGTTTAATGTTCTTGATCACTTAAATTTTAATGGAGCTTCAAGCATTCAATGATGAAATATTGCAGATAATTTGGTTCTTTTTGAAACAACCCAGGGCTTCCAAAAAATTTTGCCTTTTTTTACTTATCCAGATTTTAATCCCTTCAGACTTAGTAACAAAAGGCAAGCTTGGTAATCATTTGGGCGCCATGTCAATGATTGACATAGAACTATATTTAACTTCAGACTTTTGATATAAATTCGATGTTCTAACATAAACTGTTACATTGACTGTGCATCATACAAAGTGTGCAACATCAGCCTACTACTATCTGCCTTAGAACTTATGCAATATCACACTGTCAAACCTTCACTTTCATTTTCAAAAAGCACATTTTTCTAAAACCGGATGTTGACTTCACAATGGTAAAACATGGACCAGAGATGGATACGTAAAATCCCTGTACATTTTCAAAGGATAATCGAGTTTAAGTAGTTCTTTCCAAGTTATTTCTTCAAGAAAATACTTTAAATGAACCAAAAAAAAAAGTAAAAATGATATTTTTAGTATTTTGAAGAATTTGGATGCATAATTAAATCTCACACCTGTGCACACTTTATACTAGTTCAAACAATGTGGTTCAGACTATTTTTCGCTTAAAACCTTTATTGCTATCTTTATAAACAAATCATCAAATGATATTTTGATACAAATTCTGATAGTTTAAATATTTTTTACTAAATTAAATAGACGCAAACCAGTGAAATTAAAAAAAAACAAACTTTAAATAGACTGATCTATGTCTGGTACAAAAGAGTTTACCTGTTGCCAGAACAGGTAAGGTGAAATTTACCTATTCTGGCAACAGGTAAACGAATCAACCTTTATTGTAATGAGGGGTATTGAAGTAGGGCTTGTTTTAATAGTACTTATTCATCATGTCACTTTTATGGCCTGAAATGTGAGGCTGTTTAAGTCAAAAGGTCAGGTCAAAAAGATCGCATAAACTTCAATTTTTTTTTCTGAATTATGTTAAAATGGCAAACCCACATTATATCTGACGTCAGCATAAAACAAGAAAATATCAAGTTGTAGACTTTTAAAGACATATGCCAAAGGAGGATTTAACTATCGTTCCATGGCTCAGAGGTCAAAGGTATATATTCACACGATGGTACTCCAAGGCATAGACGCTCTTTTCAAACATGTTATTAACAAGGTATCATGTCAGATACAAACCTGGCAATATAGGTTCTCCTTTTCTAATAGCTGCTATTTCTCTTGTTATTTCCCCATCATCTTCATCTCTTGCCAACCACCTATGGCAGGTAAATGTTAACTCTTCACTTGTATCAATATCAAACATTTTCACCTGTAAAACACAACTGATGTAAAGATTCCTACAAAGCTTGGAAAGAACAAGGGTAATATTTTCAAAGTTGTCAGTACTAAAAGTATCAAAATGTGAATGATTTTGGGGTATTAGTTTTACAGACAGAAGGACAGCTGCTAAAAAAGAACCCTTTATACAGAGACCAAAGGAATCACTACAAAGAAACAAGCTGTTAACTTCTAAGGTGTTCATTTTAAATCAATATTCCTAAAGTACATGTATATAGCCATCATTGTGAGAATCAAATCTTAAACAAAACAATGCCATTATCTAATAAGTTTCAAATGGGGAACTCTTTAAAACAATCTCCCAAAAAATTACGAGAATGCATGCAATGTTTAATATACGGCTTACCAAAACATGAGTTTTAAAGACAAAACAATTAATAACACCTACCTCATCACATAACCACCCAGGAGAATCTCCCGAATCATCATGTCCAATCCTTATCTTGTATACTTCACCAACATTTCCAACATTTACCTGTAAATTAAAGTTTTTTTTCAATTACGAAAATATTACATGACAAGCTTCTAATCTTGATTTTTTTTCTAGATGCAATAAATGTATATATCTTAATTTTATAATTTCTGGTTTTATATTTTTGTAGTTTTTTTAATGTTAATGATGACAGATTATACAGACACATTTAAAAAGATTCAATGATAAAAATATAATAGGTTTAAAACTTGTCATATATTTATATAAACATATAAATATATGACAAGTTTTAAACCTTTTATATTTTTATCATTGAATCTTTTTTAAATGTGTCTGTATAATCTGTATTTTCTAGTTTTTGTCTCATTAATGTATACCAATATATCTTTTTATTTCTTGTTATAGTATTTTGCTTTTAGTTTGGCAATAATTTTGGCCACTGATGTAGTATTTCATAAAATCATTTGATTGCTTTTCTTAAAAAGTTTGTTGTAACAACACTTTTGTAATTTGGAGACAAATTCTTTGTACCTTTGTTCGTACATAAAGGACAATGTATGCTTTGAGGTTTATTTGATTCTGTAACTTCTCCCCAAAAAATGAAATCTATACAACATTTCATCAATTTAATAATTTCTTAAGGTGGTACCAAACACCTTGACTAAAATTAATTTGGCTCGTTTAATTTTTCATTAAATTTTGACAAAAATATTTACTTTGACCCTTTGCATTGACATAAATATAAAAATTTAAAAAAAACTTGAACCACACACTTTATCGGAAAAAAATCATTGGATATATAGCAGTTTGACAAACACTAATTTTGATCATTGAGAAGCTTAATATTTCCTACACAAGAGAACGTGATTAAAGCATTCAGCTGATTTTTACAGAGTTATCTCCCTGTAGTGTTATGTACCACCTTAAATTCTAAATAAAGCCTTGAAGAAAATGTATAATTTTAAACTTATGCTTCAAGAGCCAATTTGAATGTGAAATCGATAAAGTGACATAATTAGGAAGATTGGCCTGATTTTATGCAAAAAATTATGCTAATTTCAGCTAAGAAAACATAGTCCCCCCAAAACTATTTTTAGACAGCGAGGAGATAATAGCAAAATTCACAACATGTGTGAATACTGTTTTGAGCAAGAGTTCTGCTCTTTATTATTTCTAAATATTTGTAAGTAAGTTCTGTAATTTCATCATTTTACTGAGTTAAGTGTCATATTAAGACTGAACAACCCATGAAAACAGGAACCTTCTAATGAAGAACATAGATTCAATATTTAATTCTGTGAATTGAAAATATTTTGAATATATGGTCAACCTTGCACCAAATCATCAAAATGTCAAAACTGACATTTAATTATCTTACATCAAATTCATCAACAGTACCACTCTGGAAATTTTCCCCATCACCAGTACCAAGTGATATTGGTCCTGAATTGCCTTTATGACCATAAACAGTAAGAGTTACTTGAGCTTGTGTACCAGCATGTCGATTCTTGTTTGTTATAACATTTACTCTCCATCTTCCCTCTGAAAAATTATTTTTCATAAATAAAAAAATCATCCTACAGTATTTGCGACATGAATCTATAGCTCACTTGCATGCAGGTGACAATAAGAATTAAATCATAGCTGTTTTTTTTCAATTTATGGTTGCCTTTTCTTTAAACGAATTAAAAGCATAAAAAATATACAATTTTGCCTCAGCTGAGCCTTGAAATCATCATTTTGTAGCAAAAGTTTAGAATTCATCTTAATTTGATGTAAATTCCTTTCTCATTTTGTCTTGGAGACTTAAATGACATACTATAGCAATGATATTGTGTTTTCTCACTGTAGGACTCACCATGACCAAAAATGGTGAGTCCCTAGACTTGCCTACTAAAATGCTTAGGGAGAACCCTAGATCAAATAGATTGTATCTGTAAGACTCTTCAAAATAAAAGACCCAATCATGATTTGGTTGACTGTCATTGTATATCTGCCTCACATATGGCCAAAAAGTTTTCAATTTGTCATAGCCACCACCCTGTCCTTTGTTCTTTGTTTATCACATCAACTTAACACTGGATTTTCACTTGTCATAAGAAACATTGCAGGTGCTAGCAGTGGAGCAGGAACTGATTACCATTCTTGAGTAATTGAGTTATTCCCTGTTTTTTCAGTAGGATAAGACCTCTAAGTGTTTATCAATCTTTAATTTTATTTGTAGTGTTTTGTCGACTGTTGTCTTTTTTTTATTTTAAGTTGTTGTCTGTCTTTTTAACTGCTTTTTTGGTATCTTCTTAATTATGTTTACATATAAAAAGATTACTTGTATTTGCAAGTCTATCCCTTCTTGTTTTCATTCTGCTAGCTATCATATCAGATCCTCTGGTACCCATGCCAGTTCTAGAGAAGTTTCTGGATGTGGCCTGGCTTCCTCTTGTATCATATGAACCTTCCATACTCCTGAATGGTTCACGTCCAGCTGCAATTAATGCATCTGGTCCACTGAACAGGTTACCTAGACTCAGTATCTATAAAATACCAAAAATATTTATGTAGGATCACTTTTTAATGTGTTTCTCTTCAATTCAACTCTTCATATTATTAAAATAAACATATTAAATATACATTGGTACAATATCAACTAAATATAGTAGCCCTCTTGTAACTTGATACATTCATTTACATTTGGTACAATTACTGTCTAGTAACCTACATGTGCATTGTTCCTTACAATATAAGTGCTCATAAATGGGGTTTAAAAAGCATGTAGCAGCTAAATTTACATACTTAAACCGAGTAATTGAAAAGCAATCTATCCAAAATAAAAACATGATAATGCATACCCTTCTGCCTTCTATTGTGTATAATCTCCAAATGGCTGTTTTAAACATATCACTTAAATCTTTTAAAATCTGTTCAAAATTCTGAGCTGTTTTTCTGTTGAATAACATCACATGGCGATTTGTAGGTTCACCATTCCGTAAAATTGTCACTTTCTTTGGTTGATTTCTGTTGTATACACTTGTCATGTCGTAATCTCTTTTTACTCGTTTTACTTTCATGTCTCTGTATTTAACATCCTCCTTTAGTATATCATTATAAGCCCTCCTACCACTTGGTGGTCGTGTCATAAACCAAGAAGGATTATGGTGAACTCGGTTAATATTCAATGGTCTACATCTATTTCTGTTTGAAGAGCAAACATATTTACCATCATGAGTTAACCCGTCCAGATTTGAAATGGCATCATGTCCCTCTGGTGTATATACACTTCTAACACCAAATCCTAAGCCAGGAATTTTTTTAGATAATTCTAAAAGTAAGACGTCCCATTTTTTATATTTCCTAGGATTAACAGGAATTTTGACACCAGAAAATGTGTAGTCTTGTTCTTTGTAAAAGTAACATGTCTTGGCATGATCAGGTGCTGTAAAAGATTTACGCATATCTAATTCTGTATCCTGACCCGTTCCCATTTCAACCATACTCCTTGCATCATTGATTGGAGGTAGTCTATTTCTAGGCTTCTTTTTTGGAGAAGGTTTATCATCTTGTCTGTCCTTTTTGGTAGCTGCTGTTGATGGTTTACTGTCCAACTTTGAATCAGGTCCTTTTGATTCTGCTTTTGATGTTTTGCCATCACTCTTTCCGTCATTTTCAACAAATTTATCTTTCCCTTTCTTCTTTTTATCCATGTTATCTACTAGGTTTCTTCAGTTTTCACATCAAGATACTAAGTCTAAAATGAATAATGATTCTTATTTTCAACATGGTCAACAATAAATTTTAAATGAGCATGGTAAATTGTAATTAAATAAGACATCACTTCATTAGGCTTGCTAAGCTACATGGTGAATATTTTCAGTTATAAAATGTCATCAAAACATTGCTAAATTAAGAATTATTTATAATGAAGGGAAATTTATAAGTAAGACATGTAAGATGTCTGAAATACTATGCCACAAAAGACAACATGGACAACCAATACTGTTATGACATCAATAGTTCAATTGCCACACATTCTTGGGTTATGCCACACATTCTTGGGTTAAGTGTCACAGATTCGAAAATAGCCATAAGGTCTATCATGATTTGTATCTCTATACAGTAAAACCTGTATAAACAGGCCAGCTGTGGGACTTTGAAAATGGGCCAGTTTGGACAGTGGCTCGGTTTATTCAGGTTTCAGATTGATAGGAATTTATTGACTTGTGACATCAGATATTTTCCATGTAAAAGTTCTGTTTCATTGTAAACTGTAAAACATTTTTTTGAAAATGCTGTAATAACCTATTTATTAAAGGTTATGTCATGATTTGTGAACAAATATTTTGACATGAACATGTCAAATGTTCCCTGCCTTTTCACCATTTTACTTTGAACTATCGTGTCTTCTGTCATCATTTTCTTTGGCTTTAAAAATTTGAAAAATCAAAGTCCCCCGAATTATAAAAAAAATATTATATAACATTTTTTTACATATATCCTCCTATGTGAAATCGGCCTCGATAGCATCAGTCTCCAACTCGTCAGCTTCACTTTCACTTTGAATTTGTTGTTTTCATTTGCGTCAGAATCCTTGCGTTGTTTGATTTGTTCAGCGAGAGTTTCTTTCCAATTCATTCATTTGTATAGCCGATTAAATAGCAAGCATTTCATCGAACGCAATTTAATCCTGATCGTAACATTGTCGTACAATGTATCACACCGATAAACTCGACAGTGGAATGTCATCACCCGGGTTTTTTCCATTGTCAGACTCATCGCTTTCATCAGGGTTCACAACAGGAACCCCAGCATTTTGAAAACATGATGTAAATGTCTCATTCCATGATTTAAAAAGTGTATCAATAGTACAACATAAGTTCTATCCGAGATATATTTGGCGACGATGTATTCAAATTGAATTGGTACATGTTGTTTGCTTTATATTATTTTAATGAAAACTTTAGTGTTTTATAAAAACAGGTCACTAATGTAATTTCACCGTTTAACACCTTGCTAATTGATTATCGTTAAAGACTCTCTTGTGTAAACAATTTTATTTTGATTGCACATCGATCAATACAGTTATCATGATTTATTGTTAAATAAATAAAACAAACCAGTTTTGACAGGTAATAATTAATGTAATTAAGAGTATTGGGATTGCATAATTAGACTGGAGATCGGAATACACAGGGTCCGTTTTACAGAGTCTTTTTACAAAGGCTTTGAAGGGGGAAAAATGTGACCAATTTTCGGCCAGAATGGACAGGAATCTGGTTTCACAGGGACTGACATTAACTTTTAAACCAACTTGTCCCATCAGACAAGTGACTATGAATTTTACATGTCAGAATTGAAATGTCACTTGTCCAAATTTTGCAACTCATAACTGACAGTTTTAGTACAATGTACATATTGATTTGCAGTGTCTTTTGTGTATATTTCTCATTTGTTCTTTGGTATAGTCACACAACATCGCAATAAAGTATACTTATTGTGTTGTTATTGTTGGAGCTCCATCTGTTAAATTCACCTATTTTTTTTTAGTATTGTACAGACAGTATATAATGGGTACAATTTGTGAACTGAAAATTAAAATAACACTGCACAGTAGTGTAGCAAACTAAACTAGAGGCTCTCAAGAGCCTGTGTCGCTCACCTGACTCTACTTTGGTTTTTGAAATCATGTAAAGATAGATAAAAATCATAACAGATACCCAAATAATGATTGAGGCCAAATTTGGTTTAATATTGGTCCCGTTATTTAATAAAATATCCTGGTGGCCGTCTTGAACAGTAAATCGGCAACAAAGAAGCAACACTTGGTCAGCACCTCATAAGGAACATTCATGCCATGTTTGGTTTCATTCCATTCAGTGGTACTCTAAAAGAAGACATTTGTATGTATTTCCCATAGGGTCCTATGTTAAACTAAGTCCCCCCCCTGGCGGCCATCTTGGATGATGGATCGGCTGCAAAGTAACAACACTTGGTCAGCACCTCATAAGGAATATTCATGCTATGTTTGGTTCCATTCCATTCAGTGGTTTTCTAAAAGAAGACATTTGTATGTATTTCCCATAGGGTCCTATATTAAACTAAGTCCCCCGCTGTTGGCCATCTTGGATGATGGACTGACTGCAAAGTAACAACACTTGGTCAGCACCTCATAAGGAACATTCATGCCATGTTTGGTTTCATTCCATTTAGTGGTTCTCTAAAAGAAGACATTTGTATGTATTTCCCATAGGGTCCTATGTTAAACTAAGCCCCCGCTGGCGGCAATCTTGGATGATGGATTGACTGCAAAGTAACAACACTTGGTCAGCAGCTCATAAGGAACATTCATGCCATGTTTGGTTTCATTCTATTCAGTGGTTCTCTAAAAGAAGACATTTGTATGTATTTCCCATAGGGTCCTATGTTAAACTAAGTCACCCACTGGTGGCCATCTTGGATGATAGATCGGCTGCAAAGTAACAACACTTAGTCAGCACCTCATAAGGAACATTCATGCCATGTTTGGTTTCATTCCATTCACTGGTTCTCTAAAAGAAGACATTTGTATGTATTTCCCACAGGGTCCTATGTTAAACTAAGTCCCCGCTGTCTGCCATCTTGGATGATGGACCGACTGCAAAGTAACAGCACTTGGTCAGCACCTCATAAGGAACATTCATGCCATGTTTGGTTTCATTCCATCCAGTGGTTCTTTAAAAGAAGACATTTGTATGTATTTCCCATAGGGTCCTATGTTAAACTAAGTCCCCACTGGCGGCCATCTTGGAAGATGGATTGGCTGCAAAGTAACAACACTTGGTCAGCACCTCATAAGGAACATTCATGTCATGTTTGGTTCCATTCCATTCAGTGGTTCTTTAAAAGAAGACATTTGTATGTATTTCCCGTAGGGTCCTATGTTAAACTAAGTCCCCAGCTGGCGGCCATCTTGGATGATGGATTGACTGCAAAGTAACAACACTTACTGGCATCTCATAAGGAACAGCCATGCCATGTTTGGTTTCATTCCATTCACTGGTTCTCTAAAAGAAGACATTTGTATGTATTTCCCATAGGGTCCTATGTTAAACTAAGTCCCCCACTGGCGGCCATCTTGGATGATGCATCGGCTACAAAGTAACAACACTTGGTCAGCACCTCATAAGGAACATTCATGCCATGTTTGGTTTCATTCCATTCAGTGGTTCTTTAGAAGAAGTTCAAAATGTAAAAAGTTAACGACAACGACGGACGACAAGTGATGAGAAAAGCTCACTTGGCCCTTTGGGCCAGGTGAGCTAAAAATAAAGAGATGTATTTTTCAGATAGAGCTCAGACAGAGTGAATCTGATACAATAACAAGTTCTATATTACTATATTGTTATGTTAACAGGCTCTTCGTCATTGTCTGCGTCTAGGCCAAACTCAAAAATGATGCTGCGATCAATAAAAATCATATACATGTATACTGACATGCACTAAAATTAGCACGGTACTGGTAAAATTCTCTTTCAAATCAATCTTTTAACATATTTTTATCTTAATTTTTATTTTTGGAAAACTTTTTCAATCAATAAAATCGAATTTGTATGTTTGCACCTTTAATTTCTATTTAATTAAGAACCACTTCCAAGAAACAGTGAGAAAAGAGACTTCTAATTGGTCCGATAAAAATACTGCGCTCTTTGAGAGGTCAATTTTTAAAAACCCTTTTTGGAAATAAACTTCCAATCTAGAAATACTACAACTGGAGTAATTTAGTTTGAATTTAAAGGATATCTTTAATTTTTTTACTTTATTGTCACCTAGGACAAGTGCACTACAATAATCAGTCTTGTCAGAACATCGTTTTTAGTTGTCTCGGGCAATCAGACAGCAGTTAATGTCAGTCCATGTTTATTCAGGGTTCAGTTTCTCAGGTTTGACTGTATATACGTGGCAGTATAAACCTAGTTGGCAATACTGGCTTAAATACGGTAAGCAAACAGAAAGTCAAAAATTTGATAGGACAAAAAGTTGCTAATAAACTATTTACTATTGAAATATTTTCATTCTTTTACATATATTAATTTTACAGTTTAGGATATTGTTCATTAGCCTTGATAAATTAAGCTTTATCAAAATTTTTATCATGCAAAGGATATATTTCTTGGCACAGTGAAGCTATTTAAGCACCAATCCACTTTGACAAGTAGTTTTCTTAACAATTGTTTTATCATTATTGAACTTTTAAGAATAAATTTTTGTTTACAAAGTTGCTTTTATAATACATCTTATCGCTATTTATTCCATTCCGGATAAGTTCTGAAATTACACAACTCTTTCAAACCAGTTGAAGCTATCTGGGGCCCTGTTTCAACAATGTACTGTGCTTAAATTTTTTCAAAGAGTTATGTTTAAACCATTGTAAACACTTCAAACAAAGCATTTTTCTTACTTTAATTTGAGTTTAAAAAATTGGATCATAAACTATACAAATTTCAAAATGTTCACTAATCCTACACGTTTTCCTCCCTCAGCTCATTACTGATGACCTTTGTTTAGCAACAATTAATTAACCCAAACAGAAAGTTGTCTAAATGATTGTTTTTTTTTTCGGAATGGACTAAATAGCAATAAGGTGTGTAGTTCAAGAATAATACAAATACATTTTTTAAAATATTAATGTTTTCTCATTCATAGGAAAATAATCTCAAAACTGAATTGTGACTTTTTGTCCATGAATTTTCGTCTATGACTTTGTGTCCTAGTGTGACTTTCTGTCCTACAATCTTAAATACAACTGGGTATTATCTGATGTACATGTATATAATTTCAATTTTGTACCCATCTCCTGTATTTGCCCCGAATCCGGGTCCGTTCATCCTGATTTGCTTTCGCCCTAGTACCTGTTCGCCTTTATACCGGTTTGCCCTGGGTCCGTCTGCCCTTATACCTGTTCGTCCTGGGTCGGTTTGCTCTGATATTTATTTTATTTTGTTGTCTTGTTGTATAATGCTTATTATTTGAAAAGAGTATGTTAAAGTTTGTTGAAAATTCACCGAATATTTATGTTGTATTGCTGCTACCAAATAACTATTTTCATTTGATCTGCACTGTAGAGTACTTAGGAAAACAACTTCAAGGTATTTAATATAAAACAACTGATGACCATGTTAGTCCTTAATTTTTTTTACACTATTATTTTAAAGAGCACATCTATAGGAAATGTGTCAAAACGAACTTGAGATAAAAAAAGCCAATTTGTGTGCAAAAATAATTCCCTTTTATGTCTTTATACAATTCATACATCATTGTTTTTCTCATTCCAACTTGACTAGTTTTTAAAGAAAAATGTTACTTTCATTATTAATCCAACAATGACAATTAATACAAAAATAAGCAAGATAATATAAGTGTCTAGCCTCAGCTCAACAACATCATAATTATACCTTAATTTATCAGCATTCTAAATTACAATCAACAGTCATTAAAATTAATTCTAAATAAAACAAATGTAAGAATGAAGCCCATTAAATTGATCCAAAACAAGCCATTAATTTTTAAATATTTCCATGTTTTTTCATGAATTTCAAGAATATATGAATTCTTTCAATATTGATAATAAATATCTGAATATGTTTATTAAACCTTACATACCACTATATTAAAAAAAAATTTAAAGCAGGGCGAATGAACCCAGGGCAAACGGACTCTATGGGCGAATGGACTCAGGGCGAACAGACCCAGGGCGAACGTGTAATTCGGGCGAATGGACCTGATACCACTTGTCCCTTACCAAACTAAAATTGATTTAGTACCAAATCAACATGGCATAATATATGATACAACCATTTTATGTGAAATTAACATGACTGGAAACTGAAATTAATTGCAAGAAGAATAAATTATGACACTATATGAGTGATCAGATACATTAGTCATTACTGACATTAGTATTTTCTTGCTTATCTCAATATCTGAAAAATATCTTTTTGTATGATTTCGGCAATACCAACATATTCATAATGGGACAATATCACTGATGACAGTAAACTTTATAAATTCATTACAGCAAAGTAGTGTGGATATTACCTACATTGTTATTTTGTGTATTGCATTTTCTAACATGTTTTCGTATCGAGTGACAAGCATCTGTCAATCTCGTTTCCAGTCATGTGACATCAAAAATTGTTGATAGCTTTTTCAAATTATTAAATCATTTTGATGTTTTCTGTAACAGAAAGATGAAAACGAATCAATTGCCCGATTATAAAGATGGTCAGGGGAAGAAATTGTAAGTTTAATACATAATTAAATTGTAAAATGACTTTTCGGAAGACCAGATGAAATCGAGATTTCAACGAGAACTCGTCAAAGCTTGGTAGCAACAAAATGGTGGACGAACTGTCAACAAGTGCTGTGCAAGAAATTGCCGGACTTTCGGTACGAATACTATGCAGATAACTGATAAAAAGAGAAAATGACAAAAAATAGATTTAACTGCTAGGAATTTAACCTCTATTTCACAACATTCAATTTGCTGTCATTCAATGTACCATGCACAATTGCACTTTTTGTAATAAATGATTTTTAAATGTGGCCTGGGTGATCTTCTATTTTAAATGGGATTTTATTACCAAATGAGATTCAGGTCAGAATTATTTTTCTTTTCTGATTTTACTATCCTATAACAGCTCTTACCTCTTAATTCCAAATAGGGCTGGCCTTGATCCAGAACTGTAACTCTTGTGGTCCTTGCGATATATTTTGGTACAAATAAATAAAAGAACATTGTCGAGAATCAGTCAGGTCAATATGCAATGCGAACATGCATGAATTCAGATCCCGTACACACATTAATTGTTATGTGGAAAATATACTTTAACACACGATATTTAATTTTCTTTTTGACAATTCCCCTTAGTTGCTGTTGTCACCAAAATCCTTAATGTGTCTCTCTTTTAAAGAATATAAATTATTTTAAATTGAAGTTTGAACTTCTTAATTGCTACAACTTTTAACTTTTTACAGTAAAGCCAATCACATGGATTGCAAGTGCAGTTATTCTTCTAGTAAAGTAGATGTCATCCTTTGGAAGACTGGGGTCAACTTTTCAAAACATATTTAAATGACTTTCAATGATCAAATACCTTAGGTGTTGCTACCAAAATGAAGATGAAAGGTTAAAGTTTGACGTGATGTAGTTCTTACAAAAAACGAATTTGTTACTCTTTTGGCGATGTTTTGTTTTTCACTTTCAATAGCTATTTGACCACAGTATAATTTATTGTGTAGGAAAACATACAGTGTAACCCATGATACAATTGTGTTCATTATTACTCATCCCTTCAAATGTACATATTATACATGTACAACTTAAATGAAATTTTGTATTCAATTAATTTGGGGTTCACGGAAAAGAGTAAACAACACACAATTATAAGAATTCAAGAATTCATTAGATATGTTTATAGTTATTTGATACCTGTTATAGATGAAAATTAACTAGAAAATGCCAACTAAAATCATTTGCATTAAATTCAGAATATGTTGTTTGCTTCTAGTTTATTCAAATACTTAATTGATTACAATTCCACTGTTCAATCACAGTGAGAGGCAATTCATTGGCAACAGAATTCCTGGTAATGAGAAAGATTTTATAAAAAAGAGTTATTCCTCTTTGTACTGGCTATCTCGATTCTTTAATATATATTTGTTCTTTTAAAATCTTTCTCAATCATTATGACATAAATACTGTAATCAGTGTGAATGTTTGCTTGAATGTGATGCAAGTTTTAATATGTATGTGGCTGTAAGGGTTTGTAAAAAAATTACTTTATGCTCTCAATGGGTGGCACAACCCTTTCAATAAGAATAAAGAATTTTGTTGTAGAGGTCCTCGAAGTCAAATATTATATGTGTCTTGTTTTTGTAACCACTATAAATCTGAATAACCACTTCACATAACAATTGAAAAATCGAATTTTTGAGAAATTATGTTTGATTTTTTTTAGGGGGGGGGGGGTTAAGTAATCTCAATTTGATTTTGGCTTTAAATAATCTAGGACTGTGATTCATTTCGGATTTACCTAAAAAAAAAATCATATATAATTATAAGAACCAGACATGGGGTAATTGAAATATGTAATTGTAATTGGCTGTAATTAATTACTATTTCTCAAGTAGTTGAATGTAATGTGTAATTGAGCATTTTTTCAATTACAAGTAATTGAAAGTAATGAATTACAAAGCCAAAATTGGCTGTAATAGACAATAACTTTTCAATTACAACTCAATTACATTTGAAATTTGGGATCAGAAAGATTGAATCTTGTGTTTTCTCAAAAAATTATGAAAAGCCATGACCTTAGCAAATGTAGTTAGCTGACAAATCAAAGCATACACAGTATACCTTCTGTAATTACACAACCATGGAAGATTCTTTATTTTGTAATGAATGAACAAAAATTAAAAAGAAAAAAAAAATTGTAGAAACATGCCATAATTTGTGTTTAAAAGAAACCATTAGTAAGTCACTGTCGTATACCTAAATTAGCTTGTTACCTACATGTATATTCAGATGGATATTGTTAGACATTGATTTAACATAATCAATTTGAAAGGTCATAAGTCAATCAATAAATATAACCTCTGGCAATTTGTTTTATCATAAACTATATAATGACTGTTTTTACAACAGTTATGTATGCATGTTAAAAAGGTGTTAAGCCAATTAGAGAGAGATAAATATACCCCTAGGTACATGATTTTTTTTAACTTAATTAATTGTGATTAAAACTACATTATATTTTTAAAAAAGTCAGACTTTCTAAATCATTTCTATAGGGAAAATAATTTTAATAAGTTGTGATCAAATTAAAAAAATAAAATTTTATCTATAGGGCTCTCTTCTTTTCTTTTCAATGAAATACATTAAAACATAAAATTTCAAAAAGTAATTAAACAAAATTTAATATTTTCCAAATATTGAATAAGTCTTTTTATCATTTTGCGCATTAAATTAAACCAGACATCTAGTCCTATTCCTGATAGACAAAGTATTATGTGCACTTCAGATTTATGTTTGTTTTTTCTTTATTCCCGTAACACACCAGATATTTTACTTTTAATTACTCTTCTTTGATACTGGCTGAATTTGAAAATAGTCACTGTAGATCTCATTTGTTATTACTATAAAGCAATGTATGATAATTATGTACATATGATAGAATAAATGCATGTTCTAAATTTTCCTTTCAAAAGTAATTGAAGTAATTAATTACATTTGCCAAGTAATTGGAAAGTAATTAATTACATTGTCAAAAAAAGTCAAATGTAATGTGTAATTTAATTGAAGATTTTGTAATTGTAATTGAATGTAATTAATTACTTTCAAAAGTAATTGACCCCATGTCTGGTAAGAACTACATGTGTAATAAAAGGAAGCTCCTTTTAGCAATTTAAATGTTCTGGTGTTTCGTTCCAGAGTTAAGAGACTTTGTCAGATTTAAGTAAAATTGTACCATAACTTGACTTTGGATTGATTACTTTAAACTTTTCAAAATTGTTGGATTGGTGCACATAACAACCCATTCGACTTAAAAAAAAATCTGATATGTCATTCCAGAGTTATGAGACTTTGACCATCAGATGAATAAAAGGATATTTTAAATATCAATCACTAGCTCTAGTATGCTTGGATCAAATTACTACAAACTTAATACTGTTTTGGGGATTGATGAATGTCGATTTGCTTTTGATTTTGAAATTTTCTGTTATGTCATTCCAGGGTTATGGGACTTTTAACAGTCATACATTTATTTGACGCATTATTTATACGCCTAAGAGTATCCTCATGTTTACTACAAAGTCATTTTACTTGTTTCTAATTTAATGTCTTCTAAATATCACATTTTATTCTCGCAACAATAAGGGTGTATCATGTGCTCTCTGTGCAGCTTCTTAATGTGATTTTTATTACACTGCGGCTTAAGTAATCTCAATTTATTGGGTTTTTTTTCAGAAACAGAGAGGCCAGAGAAAACTGGCAAAACATCTAAACTTAACAGTTGATGATGGGGAACTTGATATGAGACAAGCCATACATCTTGATTTTTTATATGATAACTTAATGTTTGCTGCAGAAAAAGGATTTTCTTGGGATCATGTGTGTTTGGTTGCAAAATTTGCAGAAAATGTTCTTACCAATTCCTTAGGTATGTTATGTCTGTTTTATTTCTAAATACAAATCTATGTTAAAGTATGACATTCTCACACATAATATTTTAACCAATAATTGTCTAATGGTGAAATTGTAAAATTAGGATATTGAAAAAGAAACACTGTGCACATCATTACACAGTCAACGCAAGTCCATTAATTGTTTTATGGGGCCATTTTATTGCGAAAATGATTTATTATACAATATGATATCTCATTTCCCACTCCATATTTATATGACCCTACTCATAAAAGTAAATTTCTTTTGTCTCACTATAAATGAGTCTTATTGTATTATAAACTGAAATTTCCCCATTAAAGGGGCACTAGCTGTCAAATTCATGTTCACTGATTTGACTCAAATTCTCATATTTGATTTATAACATATTAAAACATTTATTCAAATTATAAAAAGTATAAAATAAACAATTTACAAGGCATGGGCTTGATAATATGTCTCATTGTTTAGTGAGTATTTTAGTCTAGACGCCATCTAATTAACTATCGAGTTGACCTCCGAGTACTGCCGATGGTCATATATGAGATATAAACATAAATATAGATATAAATAGATAACGAACTCGTGCAATTGGATTTTTCTAGGTCTGTTTAATTTCATATTTATATAGGTTTAAAATATATTCTAATCATCGTTTTTACCTGTATAACAATGAGTTTTTGTGGATCGAATCAGTCTATCAAATGATTTACCTTTGTTTCACTTTCAATGTTGACATTATTTTCCTTTTTAATAACTGAACATGCACAATTCATGTGTTATCCATCTCTAACTAAGGGGTTAAATTGAAGTTCACATGAATACAGATTCAATGAGGTTGAATTATTCATCATCAATGTTTCTTAGATTATTTTGACAAATGGCTGCTAAAAGCGAATTATTATTTCACTATTTCACGTAAGCTTTCATTAATGATTGAAAAAAACAAATCATATCAAAACATTTTTATATATCTCGTACATTTTTGTAGCTAGTGCCCTTTAAAAGTGTTTTAAATTTTCACTATTGTTTTTTAGTAGAATTTAAGTTATTCTGAAACAAAAAAGTTCTTCTTTTTTAATTTTTTCAACTGAGCATTGTATGATTTTTACTCAAAATTTACTATTTTCACCCAAAATTATCTGTTAGGGCTATTCCAGGAAAAAATGTATGCGGTGGTTTGACAACTTTTTTATACCCCACCATCCATAATTTTTATTTTCATTTGTAACAGAATTGTATAAGCTTCTACTATTAATACCCTCAGAAAAAATATATATATATGGTGTCCTAATCTCCAATACATTTTTTCCCTAGTATAGCCCTTTGTTTTACAGGGAATATTATTTCATTGTTTTAAAATATTAATTTTATTTGCTCACCAAGACTTACATTTCTACCATTTTTTTAATACTTATTTATATGATTTAAACTTTTTAAAAGTCATCTAGATGAATTTTAAAATTCTACAATCTACTTATATTATGACAAAACAAGACTGTAATGGTCATTATTATCAATAGCTAAATATTAAATTACTATGTAATTTAAGCTAAGCTTCTTTTTTTTTTTTTAATTACAGGAAAAGATTTGGTAGCTGTATTGAAGTATATCCAGGCAGAATCTACAGAGATTGGTTGTGAACTTAGAGAAAGAAATTTTAAAGTGTACATTGATTTTTTATTTTCAACTTTTCTTCAGCACATTAAGTTGTTTCAGTTTGTATTTACAAGTGATCGTGAACGAATGTCCCCTAATGTACAGTTAGAAATCATTCCTCCAAAATCTTCTGAACCTTTAAAAGAAGCTAAAGAAGTCAAAATTTGGGACTATCAACAAAATTATGAAGGACTTCAAAGAAAGGAAACTGAAAAACAGAATGAAAGGTTGCTTAAAAAACAGTATATTGCGGAAACTGCAGAGAAACGGTTGGAAGAATCAATGAAAAAAATTGAAAGTAAAAAGGAGGAAAAATTTACAAAAGAGGTTAGCAATCAATATTTAATCATCATTTTGGCATTACATACTGATTTTAGTATGTGCTTGTCTTCTTATATTTACTTTACTACAAATTTATTTAGCAGTCATATGATTGTTCATGTTAAAACAATTATACCCTGCTTTAAAAAAGTGGGGGTATACTGTTAACCTCTGTCTGTCCGTCCGTCCATCCGTCAGTCCCATGAATATCTTTCGTCGCATCTTCTCAGGAACTACATTACAAGGATTTCTGAAATTTGGTTTCAGGATTTATATGAGACAGCTGTACCTTGTGATGCGTTTTCAGATTCATCACTCAACAACTTCCTGTTTACCTTATACTTTTAGCAGGGCGGGGGTATCATTAGTGAGCAGTAGCTCACAGATTCACTTGTTTTATTTGCATCCAAATGAATCTGAATGCCTCAGTTGTCTAATTTACCAGGTAAATTTACCAATTTCTCACTTGAGTATAAAAACATGAAAAATATGGACAAATTCTTTCATTATTCTGATTACTTTTATTGTCTCGCCTTGACGGAGTCAAAAAGCGAGACATAGGTATGCTGTTTCCGGCGGCAGCGTCAACAATGTATTAGTTTGTGATTAGGTCTAGTTCATGGTGAACCAATAGTGGTAGGTCAATGATATTTGGTATGCAGTTGTATTAGCATTGGCACATCTCATTACCATGGAGATTATTTGGCCCCACCCCCTCAGTCAAGGTCTATTGACTTTGAAACTTTGCTTAGTTTACATGTATTAGTTTGTGATTAGGTCAGTTTATGGGGAACCACTAGTGGTAGGTCAATGATATTTGGTATTCAGTTGTATAAGCATTGGCATATCTCATTACTATGGAGATTTTTTGGCCCCACCCCCTCAGTCATAGTCTATTGACTTTAAAACTTTGCTTAGTTTACATGTATTAGTTTGTGATTAGGTCAGTTTAAAGGGAACCACTAGTGGTAGGTCAATGATATTTGGTATGCAGTTGTATAAGCATTGGCATATCTCATTACTATGGAGATTATTTGGCCCCACCCCCTCAGTCAAGGTCTATTGACTTTGAAACTTTGCTCAGTTTACATGTATTACTTTGTGATTAGGTCAGTTTATGGGGAACCACTAGTGGTAGGTCAATGATATTTGGTACGCAGTTGTATAAGCATTGGCATATCTCATTACTATGGAGATTTTTTGGCCCCACCCCCTCAGTCATAGTCTATTGACTTTAAAACTTTTGCTTAGTTTACATGTATTAGTTTGTGATTAGGTCAGTTTAAGGGGAACTGTTAGTGGTAGGTCAATGATAATTGGTATGCAGTTGTAGAAGCATTAATTTTAGCACATCTTATTTCCATGGAGAATATTTGGTCCTTACTTCTCAGTCATGGTCTATTGACTTTGAAACTTTTGCTTAGTTTACATGTATTAGTTTGTGATTAGGTCAGTTTAAGATGAACCACTAATGTTAAGTCAATGATATTCGGTATGCAAATGTATTGGCATTTGCAAGTTTCATTTCCATGGAGATTATATAACCCCACCCCTAATTATGGTTCATTGACTTTAAAACTTTTACATAGTTTACAAGTTAATGTTTGTGTTTACTTTAGGTTTGTTTAAAGCGAACGACTTATGAAAAGTCAATGGTATTTGGTTTGCAGTTGTATTAGAATTGGCTTATCTCATTTCCATGGAGACTGTTTAGCCCTGTACATTCAGTCATGGTTCATTGACTTTGAATATTTGCATAACTTACATGTTAAAGTATTGTAATTTTAAATTCAGCATTTGCATTATCAAAATAACAAATAGGCGAGACATATCTCTGTGTTAACAGTTTATTCAGTAATTAAACAGTACAGATATTTCACTCTAAATTAGAGCTTTGCAGTGCTTATCTTTCTTCTCTGAAACTTATCAGAAAAAAACAGTAAAGTGCAGAATTTTCTGCACCTCCATCATGTCAGATTTGTTATTGTAAAAATTTCTGAAGGTCTAATATCTCATTAGGATTTTTTTATTAAATGGTGACAATGTATGTAAATTATCTGCTTTTCTATTGTTTACAGTGCATTTTGTACAATTTTTCAGTAATTTCCCTTCTTTATGTACAGATAGCTTTGATGTGTCAATCTGGGTATTCCACTAAAAATCTGTTGACTGTAAGAAGAAAACTTTTGGAATTAAATATTATTATTGGTTGAACTTGCTGTGATTTCAGTTTTTTGTATGCATTATTTTGTTAATTACAGCCATATTCTTTTTATTTAGTTTTTGGTAATATTACAAAGGAACAACAACCTATCACCTAAACATATATATCTAAAGACTAAATCACAGAACTTTGTTTTTTAATGAAGGCTGTTGGCCTGTTAATGATATCTGATCATTAAAATTATTTAGTTCTGGTAATTTTTACATTTCTTTCTTACATGCAAGAAGCCTGAAGGCAAAAAGCAAATACAAACATTAAATACATAATAATTTAAAACTGAAAATGTGTTTTGAACATTTGATTGGTTATCTTTGGTGAATTTTCATACTTTGTTCATTTTTAATTCAAGAACTAAAAAAAATGGCCTTATCTATCTTCTGCTATCTTTTTTTTTAGACAATCACAGATATACTTAAAGAAGTAATAGGAACCTATACCACCAACACCCTAGACAACATGAAGTGGAATATTGAAGATGCCAAAGAGGATTTAGAAATTAAAATTCAGAAAACAAGTCTTCCTAGACCTCAGGCCTTAGGTATTAAAAAACACTACCATTTCATTATTAATGTTAAGATTATATGGCGTTACCAAATAACCATTGGCAAGTGTTTCAGTACCTTAGGTATTCTATGAACTCTTGTTGCATGTTATGTGTTTGCTTGGTTAAAATAATCATACAATAAACTTTGTACTATATTGCTCCTATTGAACACCAGCATGCCCATATATTACATATAGACTGGGACTGTAGGCCAATGGTTATATTGTATTGTACCAGCAAGTCCAATTATATAGTATTTTATCTACTTTAGGTCTAATGTGACAAAATTTTCAAAATGCTATGGGACCAAAGTACACTAAATATTTTGCAAATAAAATGCTCCGCTGGACGCAGCTTGATACGACCGCAGAGGTCGAACCCTAAACAGTTGAGGCAAGTATGGACACAATATTCAAGCTTGATACAGCTCTGAATTTGGATTGTGATTAAATATTTGACACAGCATAGGTTTCTGACACAGAATGAATGTGGTCTAAGAACTTTAAAAATTTTAATTTACCTATTCAAACCAAATCATTATTATTTGCTTTTATATATAAATCAGAAATAACCAATTTAAAATGGAAAATTTTAAAGAAAAAAAAAAGGAAAAAAAAATACCCCCCCCCCCAATTTTTTTAACCCCCTTATAATTCATCACCCCCAAACTCAATCCCAGCCTTCTCTTTGTGGTATGGTATCTTGCAGTACAATTTCAGAGAGATTCATACACTTGAACACAAGTTATTGTCTGGAAACTAGAAAAATGCTTGTTTTTTGGCCCCTTTTTGGCCCCAAATTCCTAAATGTTTAGGGCAATTACCCCAAAACTCAAACCCAGCTTTCCTTTTGTGAAATGGAACCTTGTAGTACAATTTCATAAAGATCAATACACTTACACACAAGTTATTGTCCTGAAACTAGAAAAATGCTTGTTTTTTTGCCCCTAATTCTTAAATTTTGAGGCAATTACCCCCAAAATCAATCCCAGCCTTCCCTTTATGGTATGGTATCTTGCAGTACAATTTCAGAGAGATCAATACACTTGAACACAAGTTATTGTCTGGAAACTAGAAAAATGCTTATTTTGTGCCCCTTTTTGGCCCCTTATTCCTAAAGGTTTTGGGCAATTACACCCAAACTAAATTCAAGCTTTCCCTTTGTGATATGGAACCTTGTAGTACAATTTCATAAAGATCCATACACTTACACACAAGTTATTGTCATGAAACTAGAAAAATGCTTGTTTTTTGCCCCTTTTTTGGCCCCTAATTCCTAAAATTTGGAGGCAATTACCCCCAAAATCAATCCCAGCATTCCCTTTGTGATATGGAAACTTGTGGTACAATGTCAGAGAGATCCATACACTAACACACAAGTTATGTCTGGAAGTTACAAAAATGCTTATTTTTGGCCCCTAATTCCTTAACTGTTGGTACCATAATCCCCAAAATCAATCCCCACCTTCCTTTTGTGGTATTGAACCTTATGTTAAAATTTCATAGAGATCATTCACTTAAACTAAAGTTAGAGTGCGAAAACCAATGTGTCTTCGGATGAAGACGCCAACGTCATACCAATATACGACCGCAAAATTTTTTTGCGGTCGTATAAAAACTCATCATAGCTTGATTGTGTAACTTAAAACATTAAACTCCCAAAATATCTTAAAAAACAATTTATATGGTATTGCGCTGGAAATATGTGATAAATTATCTTGATAATGTTATATAGTCTTCATAAGAGACAAGCATCCACACCCTCTTGGTTCAAAACAGACATTTACATACAGAACAAGGTATCAAAAGCAGTGTTAATTGAATTAAATTCTACCTATTTATTTTTCCATTTCAGGTGCTCCCCCAAGATACAGCTTGAAACCAAAAACTCCGGGATCACCACCAAAAACAGCAAAAGCCTTGAAATCAGCATCTCCAGAACGTAAAAAAACAGGTTCTGGACGGTCACGTAAAAAGTGAAAGGATATATAAAAATAACTATATGTAGTCTAAACTTGTTAAAAAAGTTTCTTTACAAGAATACAATCCAACATTCAGATGAACCTATTGTTTGAATAATCACTGTGATTTTTACCATTATACAAATTCAGGATTGTACAAAGCTTGTTTTTTGTCTGTGGATAAATGCATTTAGTTTTGTCAGTGAATATGTATGGCTGCCCTCCATTGTTGTACATTTTACTATCATTTTGTTGAACAGATTAATTTAATGAGGTTGTTTATGTTTTCAATAAATTATTTACAGTAACAGTTATATCTCATTGCATTCTTCATAACAAGAGGCTGTCGAGTGACAGCAAACCAGATTTTCCTGCAGATGTCGAACCCTGAACAGTTGAGCAAGTATGGACACAACATTTAAGCTTAAAACAGCTCTGAATTTGGATTGTGATTGAATATTTAAAATAGATTATTATCTAATTAATAATGAAAATGATATTTGCAAATCTGAACCCCAAACAGGATCATGTAAAAATTAAAAATTAACACGCACAACAAAAATAAAATACCACATAACAACTGTGTCATTTACCTTCATAACACACATGACTTAAAGAAAATAGTTATAAAGAAATTTTGACAACTAATGACTAAAATTAATTGAATAGAATCCATATACTTAATTTATAATTACTGGTTCAAGGAATAAGTTTGAGTTATTTTTCTTTAAACAGAAATATGGTTTAACTAATAAAGCAAACATAGTTCTCTAAAATTAGACATGATTTAACTCTCTAAAATTAGATATGATGTTACACAATGTATATCTATTTTCAAATTATAATCAAATATAATTAATAGTTCCATATTTTTTCTTTCATTTGTCACAAACTAATACAGATCTGCAACTTATCTAGCAATGTCAACAACTTTATCTTCACTGACAATGTAATGTAATGAAATATATCCTTTAATAAAAAATAGATTATTATCTAATTAAAGGAGTTCACTTCATAAAAAAAAAAATTATATATAGCATTCAGAAAATTAGTTTATACAGAATAACAAACAAACCTAACACAAAATTCTTCAAACAATTTACCAAAGAAAAGAAAAAAAATCCAAACTGTCATTTACCATTAATACAATGTCTTTTAAAAAATCTTTTAAAAAAATTAGTTATTTCCCTTTGTACAGAAATGGAATAATTCATCAAAAATTGAATTCTTGGGAAAGGGATATAACTCAACAACGAGAAAAGCTACAATCGTGAAAATTATACTTGACCTTCCTTTAGTCACAGGAAACAACATATCTAAATTTGAAAAAATTTCATCAAAGCGTTTTCATGTTAATGAATGGACACTGTTTGGCAGCCGCCCGCCTGCCCACCGTCCATACATCCCCAAATCATCAAACAATTTTTCCTTCAAAAATCTGGTTAAAAATCATTACTGCTATATACTTTAAAAGTTCGTGTATCCTTGGCATCCATTAGCCAATTCAAGTCTGTGTCCATTGCAAGATTTCAAAACCTATTAACCTATAATCATGTAACCTTTAAAAAAAAATGTATCATAGTCATGCCATGTGCCAAAAAAAATTGTCTGACAACCCATATTCTGTGGTTATTGTCTTAACATTCTGATTTCACTGTGATTCATAATACATTTTCTCAAATATTTTATTTTTCATATATATATTAATGACATTCTTCAAAAAACAATATTGTTAGTACTCCCTCCCTTAAAACTTCTTTTGCAAGATGTTAATAACATTTTCATCAATTGCAATAGACTCCTTGGTTTCATTTCTATGAATACAGTATATTCAGTAGTCTCTATTGTTTCACATAACATCACCTATGCCTCATTATGTGAACTTACATTGGAAATGAGAGACGCACCAAGAGTTGTTTAGGGGGTGCACAATATAAGAAAATTATCAAAAATATTCAATATCCTTCTCAATAATGTTGGGTATTCTGTTTATGGACAAAATTGATTCGCCATAGCGAAATACCGCGCACACTGTATAAATGAGGAATTTTTTAAATTGTGTGTTATTGTAGGTCGGTAGTCGAGATATGGTAAAAGTCCAAATGTGAACAATTCAAAATGACCGTATATTATGATCAACTACACATGATGGCAAACAATCCTACAAAGTAGGAAAGCTTTCTGTCAATTTTCTCAAGAGTATTTGTGTTCACTAATACAATACTCCCAAGAAATAGTCAAAGTACCAGAGTTCCATAAAAATTTTCAAATCAAAATGGCAGTACAATATGGTCAACTACACATGATGGGGAAATTATACTACTAAATACTAGAGCTTTCTGTAAAATGGACTCGGAAGAGTTGCATTCCCAAGGTGTCAATGTAACAATACTAAAATAAATGGGGAATGTGTCCATGGGACACAGATGATGCCCCTGCTTGAATATAAAGTTATAAAGGGACATAACTGAAGAACGGTAAAAGTGACACTACCCAAATTTGGACTTGATCTGAGTTTTGTGGTAATAAGCATTGTGTATAAGTTTCATAACATGTGATTGAGGCAAACTTAAGTTGAACGGAAACAAAAAATTCAGCAATTTTTCCATTTGTAAAGGGGCATAACTCTAGAACAGTTAAAGTGATGCCACCAAAATTCAAACTTGATCTGTGTTTTGTGGTTATGAGCATTGTGTATAAAATTCATAACATTTAGTTGAGGCAAACTAAAGTTAAGAGAACGGAAACCTACTTTGGGACGTACAGACTGACAAGGGTAAAACTGAATGCTCCCTCAGCTACGGCCGGGGCATAAAGATTGGTCAAAGTCCCATAACTCCAGTAAAATTTTCAAATCAATCTTAAGATATAGAATGGTTAAGACAATATGATGACAAATAGTCCTACCAAGTATGAAAGCTTTCTGTCAAAGGTCTGAGAATTGATGAGTTGAAGATGGACGTACAGACAGAAACCATTACCATATCCCCCGAGGCAAAAGTAACACACAATGGCAAAAAAGACTAGTGCTACCTTGCTGTTGCTGAAATATTGTATTTTGTTTTCTTGTTTTGATGGGATACCAGCTCATTGACTTACCCATTGTATTAATTTGTATAATACAGTCTTTCATAGTTGATAGGTGTGGTAGAAGATTGACCTTGTTCTTTCCAATGAAAGACCTTTCTAAATAAAGGGACTGATGCTATAAGAAAGTATGAAAGGTAAACAATTGTTGAACCTCATATGCTAATGAAAAATATACCAGTATGCCAACATCAATGTCCAATCAATTTCATAATACAACTGAATTTTTTTTTAAAAGGTGAATCTTAAAAAAAACAACATTTAATCTAATGTCAAACTGTATTGTTTGATACATAATTTGAAGAAGCCATGAAGTCTAGCTTGATAAAACATCTATCATTCAACAGTATTGCTTCTCTTTCACTGTGTTAACACAATATAATATAAATACAAATGTCTGGAGAGTACCGGTACTATGCTGTACAAAAACCACCCAAATTACATCATAATCATAGTTTAGAAATTTGGGCACTCCAATGGAAAGTTGCTAAACTGCAAACAAGAATTTTGAAATCAAAATGACCATGTATGAAAGCTTCCAGGCAAAAAGTTTCAGAGGAGTTGCTTTCCCAAGGTGTCATCGTATTACAATAGTGAAGGAGTAGCACCACTTATTCAAGTATGGTCAGTAAAAACATACCAGAAAGTCGTACATATTTAAAACAAAATAGTTCCTATGTATAGGTGTTCAAAATATGTAGAATATTTTTGTAATTTGGTATCAAATCAAGCTGAAGGACTGGTGATCATTATAGAATAGTTTTTGAATAAAAATAAAAATGCAGGAAATTTAAAATAGGGAGCATATTTTGCCCGTTCCTCTGATCTCTAAAAGTACCTGTCTTAGTACTTCTGAAGTTCTGGGAACTAATACACTCTTTAAAGATGTTGATTTTTTTCAGCACAAGACAAGTTAAAGAAGTGTTTTATATGAACTTAAGACACAAGAGCTATGAATGCTTAACAAAGGAGCCAAGAATCCGTGGTGTGACTAATAAAAATAAATGTAGATTGTGTCCACATGTGGACACAGATGATGCCCCCGCTTGCATATAATATAGTTATAAAGGGACATAACTGAAGAACGGTAAAAGTGACGCTACCCAAATTATAAATTGATCTGAGTTTTGTGGTAATAAGCATTGTGTGCAAGTCTCATTTACATTTGGTTGAGGCTCACTAAAGTAGAGAACAGAAACGAAAAATTCAACAATTTTTCTATTAGTAAACACCCATAACTCTAGAATGGTGGTGTATAAGTTTTATAACATTTGGTTGAGACAAACTAAAGTTAGAGAACGGAAACCAAAAACTCAGCAATTTTTATGTTTATAAAGGGACATAACTCAAGAATGGTAAAAGTGTCGCCACCAAATTTCGTACTTAATCTGTATTATGTAGTAACAAGCATTGTGTATAAGTTTCATAACATTTGGTTGAGGCAAACTAAAGTGAGAAAACGGAAACAAAAAATTTGTACTTGATCTTAGTTTTGTGATAATCAATACTGTGTATAGGTTTCATAATGTTTGGTTGGGGCAAACTTGTTACAGAATGGAAACTAAAAATTTTGCAATCTTTCGACTTATAAAGGGGCATAACTCAATAATGGTTAAAGTAACACTACCCAAATTCAACTTGATCTGTGTTTTATCAGTGGAAGTCAAAATTAAACATTGCATTGTATAAAGCATTGATTGTAGTTGATTCAACTTTAATCATGGACAAAGGAAGATAACTCCAATTTTAATAAAATGCTCTGCTGGGGGCACCTTGATACGACCGCAGAGGTCGAACCCTGAACAGTTGGGGCAAGTATGGACACAACATTCAAGCTTGATACAGCACTGAATTTGGATTGTGATTAAATATTTGACACAGCATAGGTTTCTGACACAGAATGAATGTGGTCTAAGAACTTAGAAATTTTTAATTTACCTATTCAAACCATATCATTATTATTTGCTTTTATATATAAATCAGAAATAACCAATTTAAAATGGAAAATTTTAATGAAAAAAAAGGAAAAAAAAATCCCCCCCCAATTTTTTGAACCCCCTTATGATTCATCACCCCCAAACTCAATCCCAGCCTTCCCTTTGTGGTATGGTACCTTGCAGTACAATTTCAGAGAGATCCATACACTTGAACACAAGTTATTGTCTGGAAACTAGAAAAATGCTTGTTTTTTGGCCCCAAATTCCTAAATGTTTAGGGCAATTA